TTTTTCCCCCTCTCATCCCTGTTAAGTTGATTCAAATAACCAAAAGATTGCGTGGAAGATAGAGTTTTACACATTAGCACAACGTAAATTATAAAACCACGGCTACGAATATGAGATTAGAGTCAAATTTATCATTATTTTTAATGAAAGCCCTTGCTGACGAACCTAAAGCGGTGAGCTATAAAGTCACAATGGTTCACTAATAAAGGGCAATAAAGTAGCCACGATATAAATACCAAACCAAAACAGATGTCAAATAAATTGATTTATATCTTACAGATTCAGTTTTTATTTGAATGCAAATCTAATCTAAAGAAAGAGAATTATTTAGCTCATGAAACACGAAACATTTATCGAGAGATGGTTTGGGAAAAAAGTCCTGAATTATATGGTGAAGTAAGTGAGCAGGCGATCAAGCTATCAGGGGCCGAAACGATTTTAACTATTAAAAGTACTTTTGGCAATATCTGGAAAAAACTGATTAAAAATTGACCTTAATCACTCTGGGATTAAGATTTATTTATGGACAGAGCTTGAGGGAAATCCATCTGATTGGTTGGCATTTAGCATTTCCGATTCAGCTTTTTTCTACTCGCTATTTCATGTATTCTCTTTTTGCTCTCGCGTTCTTCATCAAATAGATGAAGAAAGCAGGTCGCTACCAAGATACGATAAAAGCGCTGCAACTGCCCCAAGAAGTGGAAACATTTACAGAAGATTTACAAGGAGGCGCGTAAAATAAGTCTGTCTGTAGTTGGTGCTGGTTTTGTTGGCTTTCTTCCATTTTATTTCTGTCTTATTGTTAAAGCAAGAGGCCTTTAGGATTTTTGCCCCATCAACGTACCATTGATGCAACATGATGTACCATGCTTAACTCGCTTGTTATTCCTCTGATTTACTGCTGAAGACAAAAAGAATTGAGAAAGGTTATCATTAGAATCAGAACCCAGGTTGTGCGTTTAGACATACAGTAAAGGAAGAGAATATAATGGAAACAGTGAACAACTCTAAAATATATCTAGATTTTACTCTGGCCATTTTTCCATCCACCGATAAACGAAATTCCTTAGTCATTTTTTATATGAAAATTACATTTTTGATCAGAAGACGTGATTCAAAAAACAGTGAACAACTCTAAAATATATCTAGATTTTACTGTATGCAAAACGAAATTTTAGTCATTTTTTATATGGCCATCAGTCGAAATCGTTTCATTTAACACTGCATCAGTCGAAATCGTTTCATTTACACTGTACTCGCGATTACTCCAAATTTCAACGTGACTTTGAATTAAATAAAGAAAATTTGAATGTTTTAATTGTTATTAGATACCGTCATTTGATTGGCTGGTAGGGAATGCTATCACACAGGGCACGTATTGAGAAAATTTATATCAATCAAGAAGTTTAAAAAAAACCAGCTCCTTTATTTGTGATGTTATCGGAGAGAAATATTTATAAAAAAAAACAGACAACTTTTTCGGGGAGGGAAAATGTATCACGCATCACGCTCTATAACAGGCCTTGTCGTTATTTCATGTATTATTTCCTTGCCTTCTCATATGAGATTTTGCATCATGAAACACGCCGCCAACGAAGGAAAATAGAAGGACGGCTATTGTCCCAAGAAGCAATGGAAGGACTAACCAAAGAGAAAAGGGCCTTCAAGACAACCCTTTTCACTGTTTGAGCGGTATTCCTTTTCTCTTGCAAAATTTTTTTCTGCCTCAGGCCTCTATAATGTTTTTCCCATCATGAAGTGTTTGTACTTTCATGTTCCATGTTAAACTCGCTTGCTGATTTAATGGGAATGATTTAATGCTGGAGGTAAAAAGAAACAAGAAAGCTTCTATTTAGAAAAAGGATCCATGCCTTGCATCCAATAATTCAGAGGTATATAGCGGGGAAACTAAGTAAACAAATCCGAAAAAGATAGTGTACGAAAACAGATCATATATTGAAATAGCCATACACTGATCATGTACTGTAATAGTCCTACTTTACCTAAAATAAAGGATATATGTATCTATGTATGTATTTCTGCATAACGGATACCAGCTGTATAATGTAAAGATAAAATGGAGCAGTGCACGAGGAAAGAATTCCCTCAGAAATTCAGTTACATCTTTCATATTGATGCTTGTGCAAATAATACAACAGTCAGGTGTGAAAACAAGGAACGTTATTAAAATGCCCAGCTTACTAAGAAAACAATTACGACATGTACATATCAAGGCTCTCCATTGTTTTATCGAAACGTTTTGAAAGTTTGGTGAAAAAATTAAATTAGGTATATAGCCATACAAAAGTAAAACTAGATTCCGTGAAATCTGATTCTCAGCAATTTTACTCAATTGCGACAAAAATTACTCAATCATTTATCTAAGATCATAGGATACAACGAAACTATGAATAACCGGCTGTCAGTACTTTCGTTGTGCCTAACATTAATTATATGTATCAAAATCACTTATTTCCGTACTTTTAGAGTACACTTCCAGTATTTCCATGGTGAATTCCAAATCTAAAGAAAATTTACTGCAATGAATAGAGGGCGATTATCCCTCGCATAGCTATTGATTTTTTTTTTCTATTTTTTATTTCCGACAAAATAAACAATCTCATGAATTACGCAATTAAGAATAATGTAAATCATGGGCGAGAAAAAGACAAGTGGAAACACATGCACACTGGAGTGGATCGTTTTATGTAAAAGCCTCCGGACTACAGCTGAGACCCAAGGCATTGTGTTTAAAGTTTCACTTGATCTTTATTGGATATCAAACTCAAAATACATAACTACTCCAAGCTTAATCTACAAAAGCTATCAGGATGGCCGGTACAGAAGGCGACACAGCTTATGTCCCTCTAAAGGTTAGTTACATTGTCCCCATTATGATTACCAGCATCGCTCGCCCCTTCACAATTCTCCTCAACGTGCTTGAAAATTTCTTTTCTTCTTCTTTGGCTGTATTGACAACAGCCCCCTGTCTTCATTTGATGCTGGTTACATTCGAGAGACTCATGGCGATTAAATTTACGATGCAATACTCAAACTTTATAGCTGGTAGGAACCTGAAGACAGCGGTGATGGTAGTCTGAATTATTTCTTTCGCGTGTGGGATCTTCAGCGCGCTTCAAATATAGTTTTACTTCCCATAGGAATTTTTTTCACTGTTTCAGGTATCGTTTTCGTTGTGGTGAGCATTTTTTTCCACTTGGCCCTTCCTCGCGCATACTATCATAATTCTCAATTGTGTAATTAGTGTTAATATTTTGGAAGCCACAAAATGTAGGTTTGGTTGGACTATTAATAAAAGTTTGAATAGGAGAAATACACTAAAGAGAGTTTTAGAATGACAATTTCTGATAAAGAGACAACTTTGAAATAGCACACTAAGCGAGATATGAACTTAAATCAATTGCATGAACCTCTAGAATAACTCATACTCTTTTTCCGCTATTACGACTTTAAAAAATCCACCGTTAAGGCCATCTTTTAAAGGCTAAGTATACACAGAACCGCTTTCTATTTCCAAGTTCAAGTTTTATCAACCAAAATAATGTTTCCTGCCTAAATGGATTTTCTTTAGTTGCAATCAAGTGGGAATTGAACCCAAAAATCTGCAGGCCAAATGGTTGGCTTTTTTCAAACAATATCTTTTTGCTCCGCTTTCGTGTGCACGTGTTTCCACTTCGATTTTTCTCGCTTGTAAAACAGTACTGTTTGTACTTACACAATTAATGGAGTTAGAAACCAAAAAATATTTGTTTGGTGTGATTAGAGAAAAGTTCGAAGAGAATGAATAAACCATAATTGTATAAGAACAAGCAAAAATTTAGAAGGTTGGCACGAATAAAGGTAATTTCCATACTTTGGACTTATTTAGGCCGGTATAGTGGTCTAAAGTTAAACTGATGTTAACGCATTGAACTTAATCGCTACTTTGACCGTGATCTTCTGCTGAGATTATCCTGGAAAGCTTTTGATGGATAAATCAGATGCCTTTTATTGTACATTCGAATTTGATCTAACGCACTTGTTTAAATGCTATTTTGAAACGGACCTCGTTTTTGGGTCAAATCAAATTTATTGAAAAGAATTGAATATTTTTATTTGGCCTAAGCCGCTCTTAAAACAACAAGTGATGGTAAACACGACGAAAGAAAAAAAAGTGCTTCCAGTTTTTTCCCTACTTTGGAGAAAGGTCTATTTCTCTCAGTCGTGTTCATGGTATTACCACCAGAATTCAATCCAAACCACAAAGTAAGACCGACACTCAAGACAGGCAGTATGTTGAACGAGGATACACAAAAAACTTGGTTTTCAAGGGTTGTACTTGAGTTACTTGAGTCTAGATTGGCTTCTGCTGACAACTCCATGGAGTTGTCAGCAGAAGCTAATCCAGACCAGACGAGCAGACCTATTTTCACCATAAGCATCAGAGCGATTACTTTCATGTAGTTAGAAAAGGACTAAACAAACCACTTCGTTCTTGTGAGTTGCAATCAGCGGGATGCACTTGTAACTCACTGGAACGTCCTATCCGAGCCCATGGTACCACCATCAGAAGCCAATCCAAACCACAAGGGAAGATTCTCATTCAAAACAAGCATCAGAGTGAATTGCATCAGGATTTCAACAAAGCTACACCAAAAAATTGTTTTCGCGACTTACAGTTGTCAGGAAACACTTGCCTTGCCCGGAAAGCTTGCGCGGTTCATGGCGTTACCACCAGATGCCAAAACCAGACCATAGGATAAAACCCACATTTAAAACAAGCATCAGAATGGCCACCACCAAGACCTAAATAATAATGTACCACTCGTTGTTTTCTTTAGTTTCAATGCCCTTGCCTCAGCCGCACGTTTTACTCGAGTTCATGACAACACCACCAAAAGCCGATCCAGACCATTTAACGAGACCCAAGTTTAATACAGGAATTAAAACAGATAGCATCAGAATGTTTTAACACGATACTCCAGCCACTTGGTGGTACCTCACTCAGCAGACTCAACGGTGTCCATGCTTTCTCTACTAGACGCTAATCCAAACCACAAGACGATACCCACATTCAACAGAAGCATCAAAAGAGTTAGCATCAGGGTATTAAACAGTGAAACACGACTCAGTGTAGCTACCATTTTTACTGCACTCTCTTGTGCTTGCTTCCTGTGCAGTTTAATCATCCAGTAGGCAAATTCTGTTCCAATGGCAGATAAAACGTGCATGAGTTGATGACCTTGGCCAATTAAATCAAACATCCCTGGGAAAAGACGCTCGGGGAACCTGCCGCTATACAGGAGGCCGGATAAAATCATGTTTACCACGTGACCAAGGTAGAAATCACGGGATAATTTACTGCAGGCAGAGAATACTAAGCACGTGTCATCCTTGTGACAACTGCAAAACACCACACTCGCCAAATAAGGCTCTGTCGTGTTTAAATAGCCGGCGAGAAATGCAGCTGCGTGCAGAGATGTGCTGAACAGATTATTGATAGCATTAGTCTTGCAACAGAGGTACGTCCCGAGAAAGCTGAGACAACTTGCTACTGAGAAGAAAAGAGAAGGAGAATCGAAGATCATCAAACCAGTATTCATTGGTCGGGTGTAAAAAAACAATACTTGGCATGAAGTGAAGGTCATTAGGCTGATACCCGCATAGTCGAAGAAGAAACAGGTTTTGTTGGCCTTCTCAGACATTGGGTTGAAGAGATGCGCTGAACCGCTTGTGAGGTACACAGTTACTGTTCCGATTCCAGCAGAGAGCATTGGTAAATTGAAAGGATCAAAGATCGGATGAGTTTCCTCGCCTAAGGTCTAGGAAAAATGAACAAGAAAATACAAAGACACCAAGATATGACTCCAAACGTTAAAACTTTGGTTGTGTAAATAGAAGAGGCTTTTTAAACACTGTCAAAACGTACTGTTGTGCTTTCGTTATTCAGACTTGATGAACGGTTCCCTATGCCACTCAGTCGTCTCTTCATCGTTGAACAACTTCTTTTCGTGATGGTTTATCATTTTCTTGATTTCCTTGATTTTTTTAGTGCGATTGCGCAAGCTGTCCTCCATATGTTTGCGTCAGGCACTGAATTTTTTCAAAGAGATGATTACTTGTCGATCAGATCTAAAAACAAAGTAATAAAAAAAATATGATGGCTGTGAACTAATGACTTTTTTATTATTTACAATGGACGACATGTTTTCGCGTATTTATTTTCACAAGACTTAATTTTCGCGATTTCACGGTTGTCAAAAAATAGCGAAGTTTAAGACCCACATGAAAGAGTTTTAGCGAAAATTAAGCACGCAAAATCATTACACTTGACTAACAATGTGGGAAAGCGCTACGTTGCCAAAAGATTGGACAAAGCAGGAGTTTCTAGGGTAGCAAACCGTGGGTAATCTCTTCCTCCGGAGGATCTATTCGAAGAAATTGACAATGTCCTAAAGCTGAAATCGCAAATAGGCTTTGTTATGTACTCTTGTACAGCTCCGCTTTGTTGCAAAGGAACGTGTCAAAAGGTTTTCCGTTTTGTTTTAATATGGTTTTGGAAACTATTGTTATGGAAAATTAAAAGCAGTTGTGCCAACTCTAAGACTAACTGTTTGTTAATGCAGATAAGTAATTTGACAATTTTGCGAAATTAATTTCCCTTTAATGCATATTTGTGGCCAATTCGCGAAATTAAAGTCCTGCCATATATACCCATTCCATTATCAAGAAATTAGGCTCCGGTGAAAATAATTAACAATTAGTAGACCTGGGAACTGCTTTTCATCAAATAACTCGAAAATCAAATTGCTAGGCAAAGGAAAATATGTGAGTAATTATCAAAAAAACAGTAAATTTAAAGACCAAACTTTTGGAACTGATTCTTCGAAACCTTCCCTCGCCTTAACATGTCCGTCACCGACGGTACTGGATCTTCTGTGAATAGGCCAGTTCCTATATAATTCAAATGAACCCCATAACTCAGTGCATGACCATTTGTGTAAATCGAGCATATTTCTTAAGATGGTGAGGGAAATTAATTTTAAGGTAAAGTAGCTGTGTTGCTAGCTTCTTTTCACAAAGAGCGTTTCATAGCTCGAAAACATCTGGTGCCTAAATTTAATAATTGTTGATTCGCAGGATTACAAGGGTTTCAAAGGGATGATGGGTTTTACGCTAACGGTTAAAATTTTGGCCATTTTACGGCTAATGTTTAATTCTTTTCCCTTGCGATTGAAATAAAAATTTTTACGTTTAACTTTTTTACGACTAGCGGTTACAATTTTTCAATTTTAAAGCCTATCAGCTGAATTTTAGCATTTTTACGGCCAACGGGTAATCACATTGAGACCCTCGATCAAACCTTCGTTTTCAAAGTTCATTCTTTTGTAAAAATAAACTTGAAAAGTCAAGGGGGGGGGAATGAAACTAAGTGTTGCCAAGTTGATTAGATTTTTGAGCAGAAAATGTCAACAAATATAGAACAGGCAAACATGAACAAATAACATACCTGGGAAGAAACACGCACGGAAACCTAAGGTGATCGTGAATTTTTGATCCTGTCATCTACGCTCTTTGCTGACCGTGACAGGAGAAAAAAAAACTCTGATGGATTTAATATTTGAGCGTTAAGTTTATTGAAATTTTGATAATTCTTACTTATGGAAATTTTTAGTATCAAGAGAAATCCAAAGCAAGACAGATTTTCTGAGGAAATGACTGAGCTAGGGACCTACCGATCTCGGCATTCTCAAGTTTTTCTTTTAATTTTTCGGAGAAAAAGTGATTGAAAGAGAACTTTCCTTGCCTGAATTCTAGTTTTGCAAAAACTGCTTAATTTAGAGAGTTCGTGAACGAAATATATTTCGTTAAAAATGAAGCCTTACATCCAAGTAATGATGTGTTTGTTATGCAAAGCAATATACATTTATTCAGTAAGTGAGCAAATATATGCAAGCTTAGGCGAAAAACCTGAGGGTCTTGGAAACTTGAAACACAAACAAAAGAGCGCTCTAATATTAACACAAAGTTTTAGAGGAAAAACTTGAGCTTGAAGTTATTTTCATGGTCTAGTCACTTCCTTAAATTGACTTTTTCTAGTACATCGACATTGATGTAACTGCTTCATTAGCTAAACTGGATTGAAGAATCGCAACAGGCTACGGCGTAAGTGATATGAATAATCAGGCTTACGAAAGAGAGAATCTCTCTTCTTATGATTACATATCCAAAGACTGGAAGGAGCTGCCTTCGTACTAGTCGGGCAGTTCAAAATTATTTTTAGAGACAAATGAAACTTCTCTTTGAGCTACCATCAATAAAGTGCGTTCCCAATGGTTGGCGAAAGCCTCGTAACGTCGCGTGGATACCCCTTAACAGTGGTTAAAGCATGCATACATCTGTGCACATGTGGGACTGAGGTGGAGAGAGAAACTCTCAAGAATATGGCCCACAATTCCACGTATGAGCGGCTAAGAGTTGAACAACGCTAATCCTTGATGAGAAGGTGGGCTTTTCTCTTAGCGTGCCACCCCAGAATGTCATTAGGTGCCCCTGGTCATTGGTTGGCATCGTTTATTCTTCTGGGTGAGAGAGGCATTGTGGGAGTAAACTGTCTTACCCAAGAACACAAATCAATGACCCAGTCAGGGCTCGACCCCATACATCTCGAATCGAAGTCTAGCGCGGTACACAGGAATCATCCTTTATCATCTTTTATTTGCCTTATTTATACAATACAAAAATTTATTTGTAGCGGTTATAGCTAGAAGGCGAGGAGACCCAGGAAGCCACTGGGCTTATGGGAGGAATAGAGGTGTATGAAGGTTTCTCCCTATAGTAATTACGCCCCGTACAACTTCGCCCCCACCTCGACATCTTCAACTTATCACTGAATGTAACAAGTTCGCCCCCAGAGCTTCCAAGTCGTATTCTTACGAAACGATCTGAACATTATTCCTACCTAAACCAGAATAACAGGTAAGCTATGTGTTTGGGGCAAAAAAAGTGGCTTTATATGGCTCATCGAGACGATAAAGGGACAGTGTCAGTGTAGGGCCAGTTTTCAACCCTTCAGTACACTTTAGCTTTAGTGTGCATATCATCCATACTGTTCTTTGTACATTTCCTATGGCACTGAAATGGAAAATTTGCTGAAAAATCAATAGCTTCTTTAGTTGGTGTTCATTTCCTTTATTCTCATAACCTTAATGCGTAATTCAGGAATATTACTGTAAAGAGAAATTAGATGCTGGTCACTCTTTGAGGCTGAGGGGTTAAAAAAGGTTATGACAAAGTCTCAGAGCCGACAGCAAAGAACTTAAGATAGTTCACATCACAGATACAATTCCACACGGTCACCAACGGCGGTTTTTGCATTGCTTAGCGCACAAACTGAAAGCGTTTTACATTACATTCTCAAATACCCCCTCCCAGCTTTTAGATTCTGTTGAACAGGTTTATTTCATTTGGTTCTTTTGCAACCATGTTTTCCTAAATAACATATTTTTCTTAGTCACTTAGTTCTAAAGAGACCAATTCATGCTCTCAGGTTAGTTTTTATGAGAACTTTCCTTTTTCTTAAGAGCGATAGAAAACCAGAATGCAATACAAGCGTTCAAAAACATCACTAATATGGCCGCGACCAAGGTGTTGAGAATGGACACGTACGCGGTTGTCTCTTCCAACATTCCCCTGGCTTTCCGGGCGTTGATTTCAAATTCAACCATTTTGAAGGCATATTCTGTTCCTATGGCAACACAGACGTGTAGAAAATGATGACTGTTCCCGACCAAATCAAATCTTCCAGGAATGAGGCGTTCAGGTAGCCTGGTGCTGTACATGAAACCCGCCAGAAAAGTATAAAATGCGTGACGCAGGTAATATCTAACGGGTAAACTGCTACAGGCGGAAGAGGACCAACAACTCTTGTCAGTTACGTGACAGGTGCAAAGAGTCGCGCCAACCAGAATTGGTAAGGTACTGTGAATCCAAGCGGCGATTACTGATAACATCCGCAAAAAAGTGCTGAACTTGTTGACTGCAGCATCCGTTTTGCAGCAACCGTAGGTCACAAGAAACGAAAACAGGGCTGCTAGGCTCAAGTACAAGGCCGGCGATTCAAAGATCCTCCACTGAGAATTCACTGGCCGAGCATAGAAGAACATAGCTTGGCACGAGGTGAATGTGTAAAAACTGACCGCTGCGTAGTCGAAAAAGAAGCAGATTTTGTATCCTCTTTCAGAAATGGAGTTGAAAAGATGAGCAGTTGCACTGGAAGAGTACAAAATTACAGTTCCCATGGCAGAGGCCAAAAGTGGTAAATTGAAAGGATCTAAAATTGAGTCCACCTGAGTAGATGCAGCCGTTCCATAGCGTACGGCGAAGTATAGTGCCGCTATAATGTGGCTCCACACGTTAACACTCTCATTATTGATGTAGAAAAGGCTTTTCAAGCACTGCCAAGGCGTGCTGTAAGCTCGCCGGTATCCTGACTTGATGAAAGGTTCTCGAAGTCCCCCGGGCATTTCCTCTTCCTCAAAAATGACCCTGTCATTATCGATTGCACCAACTGTCAAGCTACTATTATTGTTGGCAGCTGTGGTGCTAAGGCTGTTTCGCTGTCTGTCTACCATCCTTCGGCCTCTGTTAACGATAGCAAAAGCACGTTGACCTGTGTAGAGAACAAACAGTAAAGATGCATTCGCTTGTAAAGTTTTAGTTGTTTTTGCAATGGCAAAAAAATTGACCTACATATCCTTGAAAAACCCACCTCCCAAATTCTGAAAAATCAGTTTTGTAAAAGGAACAAATGAGAAGGAAGGAAATTCTGTTCTGCCATGTGTTTCCACGACAAGTCATTGCCAAGCTTTCTTTACTATTCGTCTGTAAATAGCAAGAAATTTGCATTGTGTTTTGGTTATTTTCAAACACCGATTCTCTAAGAGATTGAGGCTCTCTCACTTATGTAATTCTTCCTTTGAAATTGGTCTCAAAACTTTACTTAATTTTCTAAAGATCAAGGTGACCATAGCAACCCAAAAGCCTAAAAAAAATCCCTTAATCTGCTTCTTTTGTGCCCTCAGCTAAAAAGACATGTGTCGGTGACCACATTATTGTCATTCACTGAAATTGGTATTTAAATAAATATCATTCGGCTAAGTTAATGAAAGAAAAACTGCACATGAAGTTCAGATCCACTTTAAGAGTTTTAGTTTGACAGAAATATAAAGTTGGAATAAGAGTGTTTCTTAAAGACTGCGGTGTTAATATGGTATACCTAGATTTCATTGGAATGATCAAAACATACATTGACCAAATTGGACACTTTTTTAACACTGTTTTCAAGGGAACACACGAAAAGTTTGGTGGTATTGATAATTCGTAAGGATTGGTATTAATAAATAATGAATTAATTTTATTATAAAAAATTGCCATAAAAGACCATGATATTACATTTAAAAAAGTAAAAAAAAAACTAGTTGACGACGTCTCGAAGTCAACTTAAAAAATTATAACTTAAAGCTAACCGAAAAGTTTTGGACATATGGAATCCACTTCCACGTTCAACTTCAGTTTAAGTTATTTTGATGAAAAGCATTTCAGAAACAGGACTAAACAATCAAACCTACTTTGACATTTCCTCAGAATCCTAAAGAGGCTTTTGTTAAGAGTGCACTGTAATGAGAGCCCGACGCCTTTTTCAACGCATTGCTGAAAATAATTATTCGTAATTACTTTTTTAAAAGAAAAATTGGACTCCTTGAGATTCAATGCCTGTTGAGGGAAAATTTCTTTAAAAAATCAGCACTAGGCCATAGGACTAAAGCTAAGTTAAGTTATTTAGCACAAGTTATTCAGACTAATCTTTTTCAGACGAATGAATAAACTTGAACGGAATTTTACAAAAATTATCGACAGCTGTTGGTCAGTTTTAAAATACTGAAGGAGAATAATGTCAAAAGCGAACTTTATCATCGGTCAGTTGGACTTTGCTTGCCAGGTTCAGTTTGTTGCAGACTTTGGAATTTTTTCAAATATGAGTTCAGTTTGTCGCAGACTTTGGACTTCTTCCAAATATGAGGAAAACTGGGTCTTAACGGCGACGGTGCATAAATTTGTTTAATGATGAGGTGTAACAAGTTGCCTCGTCAACGTGAAATATTTGCTTAATTTACACAGATATCCCTTGAACAACGAAATAATGCTCTAATGGCAAATGAAAATAAAACTAAGGATCACTAAGACGAGAGAGATTTTTCACACGCGGCAAATAAATTGGTTCAATTAACTTGTCACGTACCTTGAAAGCGATAACAACATTATGTAAATCTCGACTAAAAATTACAAATAGTTTATTTTCACTTGCAGCACGTATCGCTTAAAATATTTTCGGAGTCATGAAAACGAGATACTTGCGCTCAGAACGGTGCAAATCAAATTTGCTAAGAATTCACTTTCGTAGCTGCTTTGTAGAAAATAAATAGCGCCTACTTATGCTCACTAAACAATACACGTATGTTAATACGATAGAGCCTCGTGTGTAATCAGCTCACTCTTAAACCCTGCCGCTCAAATTTCGTCCTGGCTAGAGTTCTAGCCCATTTCTAGTGAGGAGATAGAATCTATAGTAGCTGATGGATTTCAGTAATTTCAGTTCAAATGTGAACACCGTGATTGTTTACGAAAGAGTACAAAACGGATAGAAAATTTCAGTTTCACGAAACTATCACGATATTCGTTTAACTTACCGAAGTTTTCAACAGTTTTTTCCCTGTCAGGATCCCAGTTTCATTCAGAATTATCACAAATCGCCTAACATGAGGCTCGCATGCTTCTGTCGCGTCTTGCGTCAATATAAAACAACGAAACGTAAACAAATAGGTGATGCTTGGTTTGCGGTACAAGTATAATTATTATGCAACTATTTAATTCAGTTTCATATTATGCATAACCGGTATTAGCGAGATTACAAATCATCAGAATTTATTAAGCGGCAAAAAAAAAAACGGTAGAGTTTAATGACTTTTTGTCGCAGAACTACGAAAGTATAGAAAAATTGCAATTGGTATTTAGTTTGCTTGGCAGCCACAGCGTTTTTGGACCAATATAGAAAAGAAAATAGCGACAAGCTCGATGTTTTTCCTCGCCTATCGAGCCAAACTTATGACAAAAAGATAGCTAGCGCTGCACTATTCGACCGCACGCCTCACTGGAGAGTAAGTTTTATGAGTCCGCATTAACGGCTAGAGAAGGAAAATAACTAAATTGATGAACCTCGCAAATCATGAGCATTTGAATAGTGTGACATTCGAATCAGCAAAACAAAAATCGAAGTAGCATCACTGCTGTCTCTGCTTTTGAGAAAGTGACGTTGCGTGTCACAGAGTTGTTGATAATGATGTTACCAAGGCCTTGCCAGAGCCTAGAGGCAGAAAATAGCAGAATTCAGTTACGTAATTCTACAGGTATTGAAAAAAAAAATTCGAGTCGATCACCACAGTGCGACAATACGGTTCAGTTATTATTGTAGTAAAACTATCATATCATTTAATCATCCATCCATAAATATAACGTGAAAAGGGTATCAATCGTTAAAAAAAACGTAGTCGGCCAAAAAAACTAGCTATCTACATATATGAACCACGAGTCGGAACTGGTTGGGGTTTCATGCGTCAGGGGAACTCTCTTTAATCTTAATCAATCAGGACGAAAACAACCGGAGATGACGTCGATTCAAAGATGAATGAATAATTTTCGCAAATGGCTGGAAGAGACAAGTGCTTCACTTCATCAGAACACAGGTGAGAAGCGTTGAGTCCCAATACAAACTGCAACTTAAGTAATTTCCTGTCGGGGTTCACGACCCCGCAGATTATGGTACTTTGACTTGGTTGTTTTGCAGAGGACAGCTAAATAATGTGCAAAGTCGAAAAACGCACTTGCTAAGCTATTGTACTATCAAGTAGATATTTTGTTTTGACACGTCCTCGTTGCCATCGCCTTCTTGCTGAAGCTAACGCAGATCAATCATTTTTCCAATTGTATGTTTAACGTAAAAACGAGTTTCATCGGTGATCGTTAAAAACAAACTCTACTTGCCCCTTCAGAGCTTCCAGAACTCAAGTTTTTTGTCGACTTAATTGATCACGAATGGAAAAAAAAGTAGTATCCTCTCGAATAAGTTTCCAAGGTCTAAATTCTCATTTAAAACATAATTCGCTTCGGTACAACTGCCCAGAGAGACTCAATATAGTACAACAGGTTTCTTTAACATTAATATATTATTCAAATATCATGATTTAATGTGTTTACATTGCTCATGACCGCAGTTGTTTTTTTTTTAACGTAATTCGCACCCTGGGCAAGTAAAATGACACATTACTAATGTGTAAAATGGGCCATTTTAGGTTGCAATACGAGGCAAATAAGGCATATTGGTTTCAAAGCTGACTGTCACTGAAGCGAAAATATGTTAAAAATAATGGCGTTCCTTTTTGACTTGCTAATTAAAACAATTGAAATCTTTGGAATAAAAAATAATGACAAATGATATTCCCAACTGAATTGGCATCGTTTTCGGAACGATTGTTTAAGACGAGTTTTAAAATTGACTGACTATTATCGAGGTTGATGAAGCTGGAATTTTGAAGAGGTGTGAGCGTGACTCGTGCGTGATCGAATGTAGGAGACGGTAGAAAGGTTTCTGAATAATTTAGAGCGAGTGACGCCTTTCCGGTCGCACAGGATGCTCTTAATACTCCGGCCGAGATTCGATTCACGTCATCACTCATCAAACATTCTTTCTGAAAAGTAAAGAAGGTACTTTTCAACGGCAAGAGTTTATCTCGAAATGAAAAACGGATCCAGGAACATATCGTGTGATCAAGCGAAACTGAACAACAACCGAAACCACAACAACGAATCGATCAAATCGACATGCAACGGAGGGATTTTTACAGAGAAGAAATTACTCTACAACTTCGACGAAGTTGCACCCGATTTCCAAGAAGCTTTCATTCTTAGCGGGTATCGGAAGCCTTACAGCAGCACCTGGGAATGTTTACAAAGCCTTTTCTACGTTAACAATGAGACTTTTAATATGTGGAGCCATATCGTGGTGTGTTTATATTTTGTCGTGCGGTACTCCGTGGTCTTGATTGAGTTAGGAAGAAGTTCGTCCTCGCCGAAACAAGATTTTTATTATCCAATGTTATCATCGGCTATCGGGAGCGTCACTATCTACGCGTTGAGTGCTACAGCTCATACATTTAACTCACGGTCGGAAAAGCTGCACAGAGTTTTCTACTTTTTTGATTATGCCGGTATTAGCATCTACACCTACACCTCCGGTCAAGTTATGTTCTTCTACAATCGACCCATTCAAACTGGATGGCGAATTTTCGAATCTGCATTGTTTTACACAATCATTGGCGCCAGTTTATCTTTTCTGGCAACTTTCTTTTGCTGCCAGAGTAAAGTTGGTTTACGAAAGCACGGCTCGGCAATCCGCATAATTCCAGTGTTCGCTGGCTGGTTGAACACTGTATTATCTCTTGCAGTTGGCGTGACAATGTGTAGCTGTCACGCTGTCACGACATGTCAATCTTTCATCGCCTGCAATGAGCTGCTAATCACGTACTTTCGACGTCACTGCTTTTACTCAATCGTGGGCGGGTTGATTTATGGAAGTAAACTTCCAGAACGACTCTTGCCAGGAAAATTCGATATCATAGGAAGCAGCCATCATTTTCTTCACATTTTTGGCGCCCTCTCCACAGAATACGCCTTCAAAATTCTGCAAGTTGCCATAGAAAGTCGTCAGGATTCAAGAAACGAAGTTTTGGCGAAGTCACTGATTGGTATATCGATCTGGGAGACATTGTTTCCTACGGCTGTAGTATTTGTCGTTAACATCGCCATAGCTTCTTGCTTTGCAAAGTTGATTTATAATTCCAAAGATGAAATAACCATCAAGAAAAAAAAATGAGTCATACAAATGTCAAAGTTATCATTTAAAATTTGACAGTTAAGGAATCATTTTGAGGTGCACAGAGGACCACCATCATTTATCGCCGGGGGTCGGGGGGGGCAGTCGGATTTTGGTACTGTCACGATAAAGTTTACCTGATCCTACCATGAAGCTTTGTAATATATTTTTGTTCCCCCCTCCCTTCCCCCCTCCCCCCCCTCATTGGCGGTTAATTCTTCTAAGACTCTGTTGGCGACGACTGATCACCTCTCCGTTTCCTCATGAAAACCATGTGATCGGCCTCAAAATCATTTGTTCCCCGATCCTCTCAAGCGATAAAAAACGACTGGTCTTCTTATTTTTTTTTCTTTTTGTCGAATTTTGGAGTGAGGTTCATTTACGTCGGTTATGTACAGGGTGGGGGGAGGGAGGAGGGCAAGACCTTGTAGCCATAATAACCAAAGAAAAGGCAAAAGTTTCCCGGGCTTATTTTTCTAGCTAAGCCTAAATATAACGTATTTTTTTCAGTATTTATTTGCAGTTTGTAACTTGAAAATATAAAGGAACTGATCATTATAAACGCTTGTAAACTGAGTTAATAAAGATACGCTTTACATGTAGATTGAAAACAGCCCTTTGTTAACGAAGAATGTTCAGTTTGTGGAGGATTAGAGACACAAAAATCATCCTTCTCTTTTCTTTGCTCATTACTGACCTTCAAACCTATCTCAACACACCCCACCCCCTCCCCACTGACCTTCAAATCTCACCCCACCACCTCCCCCTCCGTCTTGTCAAAACCAAAGTTTCAAAAAAGCAATATTACTGGGTTTTTTTTCTCGTTACGCGGTGCAAGCCTATATCATTTTTATTTACCTGCCCATTTTGACGTACATAAAATGCAAACACCAACAACGCAAGCACAGCTGGCTTACTAAACTTTTATCGCGTGAAAAATGTAGCTTGTACGGTGCTAGATCAGTTGCATTGAGGAGTAAGTTATTAATTAGAGATTCCCGAAGTCTCCGTCTTAAAATCACTGTAAGTAAGAACCTTCAGATTAAATAATGTTTTGCCCATTCTCGGGCAAATCAAACGCATCTTCACCAAATTGGTTTTTGACACAATGACATCTCATTGAAAACATCCAAGGCACCTCTCCCAAATTGTCTCTTTCCAACTAACACCCGTCAGCCATCTTTGATGACACATGTATCAGTGATGTCAACTATTGTTAGTTGATCGCGAGTCACCAGTCGCGATCGCGAGTTGTAATGAGCAATCGCACGTTACTGGGCTATCGCAAAATAGTAACTTGCGATTGAAAAGAAGGTCACAAGTTTGCGCAACAGAACTTTACTTGTATTTTACTCGCTTGACTCTATACTAACTTCTCGTACTCAACAATCGACAACTGTTCACGCACTAGTGATTTCTCCTGGGTTTTGATCGTCACTGAAAGTTGGGACGGGTACGAATCGATCAGCGGATCTGTTACAAACCGACATCAACTGGGTTCGACCGTTCAAATTGTCTGAATTTGGGTACGAATCGTTCGAGTACAAAAGTCTATGGGTACGAAAAGACTGGATACCGGCTGGCACACACCACAATCTCCTCTCAGCTGACCGTAATGAGGCGGGAGGCTAGTTCATGATGCTCTTTGGCTGCCTAGAGATGAAAAGAACTTGGCTAATCACCTTCAAACTTGCCAATCAGCGCGCGCGGAAAGCATTATTCAGCTTTGCAATATTCAAAATTTGGTGATAATTCCTTTTCATTAACTGTAAAAATATAAACTTTCTGAATTAAACGACAAATATTCTTCGACACAGTTTCGACTGGTAGTTTACAATGGAAATTTTAATTTGCTATTGGGAAAACAGCTGGCCTTCGGCATATCTACAACCACCAATAGTTCCATACATCAATTGGTGCTTTGCAGCATAAATAAAGTTAAAAGTAGAGCGAATCCAGGGCAAAGAGCCAAAAAGGGGTCTGCTTTCAGTGTCGAATGAAAGCACGCACAATCTTCTGTAGCAGCTGAATTTTTATTTTCCTGTTTGTTTGTTTGTTTTTTTTTCCATGTGACATATCGGGTTTCATGATAAGAAAGGATTGCTTTGACAGGAGTGGAGATGAGTATTTCAATGATTCGGCGGGCAATAAGTAACTCGGATAATAAATGAATCGTTGTCGTTTCTAAAACTGTCGGATGTTCATTTGTAATGTGTAACATTTTGTTTCACCAAAACTAAATGGTTCTCGGTAAACTTATTTTAGTTTATTTGTATGCTTTGAGGCTTCTTTGTGGGAAAAAAAGAAAAAAAAATTGTACCTCTTCTACTGTTTGTCTTTCTCATTAGCGCTCTATCAGTCATTGTCAAAAAATGTGACATCTAGCAATATAGCTAAGCGTGCACTGTATAATCAAACAAGTTTTGTACACAAAACGACATTTAAAAGACAATCGAAACCAGACGAAAACCAAATAGCCAACTTCAGCTGTTTTAGCAGCCAGTGGAAAAGGTTTCTCCTATAAAAGTTTGTCACTCAACAAGAAATGGCGTCTTATTCAAACTCGACTTCGAATGAAACACTGGTACACGAAGCGCTTTGTTTCATTCACGACACGAACGTGGTTCGCGCTTTTCGCGTCGCGCCGTTCGCGCCGATTGCGTTTTTTGCCATAACCGGCAACTTTCTGGTTTTCGCTGTATTGTTAAGAAACAAAACAATGAGGAAAACTATTAATTTCTTTATCGCAAACATGGCGATAAGTGACTCGATCTTTACACTGGTGTACCTTCCTCGTGTCATTACAATCTTGTTGTTCGGGTACAGGTGGCTCTTGAGCGATTTGCCTGGCATGATATTTTGTCGTATGTTACTATTCCTAGTTTAAATATCCACCATTGTCTTTGTTCTTACAGTCGTGGCTATCACCTTAGATCGCTCACTGACCGTGAAGTTCCCGTTACGAGCGTTTTTTACCACGAGAACCTGCGTGTTCGTGATTTTCGTGATATGGGTAATCGCGATAAGCGTTCAAACGCCAACTCTTCTGGCAACAGACTTGGATGAATATCAACAAAAGATGTACTGCATTGTCGACTTTGACGTAAAAATTTGGCGCAGGTACGGCAATGATATACTTCAAGTCCGTGTTCACAGCATTGTACGCCATTCCATTTTCAATCACTGCTGTGTTGAATATCGCTACCATTGTCGCTTTGGGTAGAAGGAAAATCCCTGGAAACGATATTTCAGGAGCTTTCAGAAAACGTCGAGAAGAAACTAATCGTAAAGTGGTCAGAATGGTTGTAGTGGTGGTCTCCACGTTTCTTCTTTGCTGGTTGCTGTATTTCATATTGATGGTTCTTCGTAAAAACGGTGTACATGTTCCTTGTGATGTCCTCTACCTGCGGCTATTGTTGGTTCATTTCAATGCCGCCGTGACACCATGGTTGTATGCGATGTTTAGCGAGAACGATCGCCAGGGATTTGCAGACGTTCTTTTCAAATGGGGATGTCGAGTGTTTGCTGCATCGGTAAATCACCCAGTGGAGGATAACACTATCACAAACAGTCGACAAATTTCTGCGACAGATCAAGACTTGCAGCTGCAAACTCTGCCAACCTCTCAATGTGGCTCCACTATACAGTTATTAAATTGATTTTTTGTATTCAAAGCTAGGGAATAGAAGAAATCTGAAGATGAATTCGCGTGAAAAGACTGAAAGTTGACATAAGTTGGATGTCATCTGTCCCGAGATGTCACGTGAAAATGCGAATTGCAAACGAAAGTGCAAATTCTCCAGTCTGATGCAAAGCGCAACATTTTTTTTTCAAGAGTGCCATAGAGGACATCACGCATCTAAAAATTTATACTCAGAATTGGTTACTATGCGACTTCTTTTGGAATGAGGTTGAATTCATTGCTTATTTCCCGTTTTCAGATTGGTTAGCTTTATATGCAACTGACCCCAGGAAGGGTCCTTTCTCATCCACCTTCGAGGAGGGACTCTGGTTGCAGCTGATCACGTGCCTTTGCAGAACAAAGAACGCCGTGGGGAGGGTGAATCCTCGACTTAATTTTTCTGGGAGACACGTAACCAGCCGCAGCCAAGTTACCTCCCTCAGGGGTGAAGAGGGGGGGACCCTGAGAACGAGATTGCAATCAATTCAACCTGAATTCTATGTCATCCTTGTTTGCTTTGGTCCTAAGCACTGGTTGGCTCGTTAGAATCAACGGAGAGTAAGACTGAATGAATTACTCGTACCACAGGAAACCCAAGGTAGTTTTAGTGGCAGCGTTACTTGACTCCTAGCACGTAATGCAGTGACAATAAAAAAGATAGAGAAGAATACTGGTTTCTCTTGAGAAACCTCAAATACTTGACTCTAATAACTTATAGGTGTACCCGCCGAAAAAAGAGGACTTCAGAAACAGAAACCATAAATTTCGTATCTGCCAAAACTGATAATGATAATAAATTATAATAATGCGAATAAACCACTAGCGAAAAAAAATTAAAAACTACTTACCGTGTGCTGAGGTTCTAAAGAGTAACCTAGACTGTAAAATATGTTTTAAATGATGGGACCACGGACGCTGCCATTTTAGACACAACCCGCTGCCATGTTAAAAATAGCTCTGTAACCTCGCCGCAGATGCATAGCGGCCCAGCCTTCAACTCATATGGCGGGAGCGCGGTCGAACAACAGCAGTTAGTTGAAGAGTCAACTTCTATTTTCATTCAGCTCAAACCCAGATGATTTCCGATTTTATTTTACTTTAAGGAAAGTTTTAAGGCAGTTTTGCAACATCGGAGTCGCAAAGATGACGTTAGAAACCAGCAATTACTCATAGCCCGGGGAGGGGGGGTCGGAAGATTTTGATTGTACCATAACAAAATTCACTCGATCCCATCCCAAAGCCTTGTCAATATTTAAATGATCTCACCTCGTTGGCAGTCGATTTTCTATTGTGGCCCCCTTTGTACTCTGTTAGCAACGACCGATCCCCCTTCTCCGTTCCCCCTGCTTTTCCGGCGATAAATAATTCCTGTTCTATTCCCAAAAACTTAATCACAAGGACACAATCAAAGAGAGCCCTCTTAGGAAACCCATCCAGTTTGATCCAGTAACATCCGCCGCACCTCACCCTCCCTCCCCCACTCACCTCGGCGGCGGGTAAATATGCTAGGGGGAGAACATGGAAACAGCTCTCTTGTGCTGTCGACGGATATTGCGTTTCGGTTCCCTTACCGAAGTCTGTCATGTGGATAAAATATTTTCAGTGTCCGACAAATTGCGTAAACCTGCGGGAAGTTCTTTCTTCATTACGTGGTGTTTGAAGACTTTAAAGACTTCAGTAGAGTCAGAGTTTAATTCGTCAATTACGTTCACATGGAACCTTGTCATCCGGTAACTGGCACGTGTAAGTGTGACCCAGGATTCTTTGGGGCCCGTTGCTCTAAAGGTAGATGTCACTTAATACGGTGTTGAAACTGAATTTTGCCCCTTGTTTTACTGTAATAATGCCTCCTTCACAGGATGCCCTTCAGAGTCCTTTGCAGTAGGGTGCAGAGAAAAATGCAAGTACCTGGCTAATCACACAGAAAGGTGCCACTCTAAGGATGGAACATGTGACTGTAAGCGTGGTTACTTAGGCAAACACTGCTCAAGCAGTAAGTTTTCGTTCGGTGACTTATTAAAAAGAGAGGTTAAACTGCGGGTATTTTCTTGTTCTTCTTGGTGAGAAAAGTAACCTCATGGATGACCCATGGATGACTCCTGACGCCTATTTACACCTCGTCAGAAAAGAAACAGCTAATTAATGATCGTATAAGAGGACCTTTTGTTGCAGCGTTTAGATCACCACTGAAGAAGGCTTTGGACAGGAGTGTCGAAACGTTGGGTTTACGAATTGCAACTTCTTCGGTTACATTTATTAAATCTTTAAACCAGAGTAGCATCAAACCATGTCTGATTTTCCACCTGGTTGCAATGTGAACTTAAATATATTTTGCTGCTGTTAATTTAATTTTTTTTTTTCGAAGAAAATATTATTGGATAAAAAATTTCGTTGTTAAAAAATAAAACCAGTTATAAACAACGTTATTGATAAAAACAAAACGCCGCTAGTTTGTTGATTCGACTGAATAATTTCAACATCGGATCGGACTCTCCAATTAGGGGAAAGAGGAAAAGAGAAGGAGGAACACACGAAGAATCGAAAGGATCAAACTTGTTTCTTGCAATGGTGATCTTAATTTATTGTACGTATGCTTGAGTCGAACGACAAGGAGATCAAATTCTTAGTTTTGAATGTGTGAAACAGAATGCGCACCGTGCGACTTTTCTCTTCTCCCAGAAGTGATTAACATGAAATCTCTCCATAAAATAACCATACATAGTTCAGCAAACACGTGATGAGAATACTCAAACTAATCAGGTAGAATTCTTTATCTTGATGTAACACCAAATTCTCCTAACTTATTCACACAAAGAAATGTGTAACAGCGAGATAAAGGAGAGAGCTGATCTTTGGCTCCCGCATAGCAAACAGAAAAACGCTAACAGAGCTACCAGTCTTGTAAATAGACAGAGTTTCCTTTGTTTCGTTTAAACATCTGTTTAAACGTTCTCCAAGTTTCAGCGCCTCGTTTATTTTACGGTACCACAGTCGTCAAAATTATGTCATGTAACTAAAAATGTCCTGTAACTGATGTTTTTACAGCAAACTTACTTTGATTCTTGGCCAAATACAAATGTCACAGTAAAACTCTCTGAATGCTCAGCTGTTACAAGTGTTGAGAAAAACTAGGCATTGCTCCGAGGCAGCGGTAACCAGCTACTTTACTGTGTTGACTGAAAATGGAAAAAGTGTTCCTTGGTTTAATTTTGGGCTTCATCGGCTTTGCATTCTCACGAGGTACTCCAAATTTAGCTAAATTTGTTTCAGGAATTTTAAAGTGATATCTTCGATGAAAGAGTATATCTTGAATTCTTGAGCTAAGAAGATTTAGCAGCTCGCCAGCTAATGATAATATTTGCAAGATGACCTCTATCGGAGCTGATACAATGATTCTTAGCATCTCGTTTTTCGTTCATGTTGATTAACACTTGCAAAAAAATAAGAAGAAAAAACTTATACAACTTGATAAGTTGTAAAAATTAAGGAACTCAGGTGAAGCCTTTAGAACAGAAGTTTTTGCTAAAAATGTGCCAAGTAAGAGTTTGAATGTCGAGATTACTGTTTAGCCTTGATAGAACTTTGATTCATCAATAGATGTCGACAACGCGTGAGAGACAAGGAAGAAATGATATAGCAAAAAAATGAAAAAGAATATGCGTTGGCCGGGAATCGAACCCGGGTCAACTGCTTGGAAGGCAGCTATGCTAACCACTATACCACCAACGCCCAGTTAAAAAATAATCGGAAGAAAAATTAGGTAATTTTAAATATCATATCGAAAAATTATAAATCGCGTTTATCCATGAAGCAAAGCCCTCGGTAAGAAAGTAATGACAACATTTACTAACAAAGTAAGAGTTTGAATGTCGAGATTACTGTTTAGCCCTGATAGAACTTTGATTCATCAATAGATGTCGACAACGCGTGAGAGACAAGGAAGAAATGATGTAGCAAAAAATTGAAAAAGAATATGCGTTGGCCGGGAATCGAACCCGGGTCAACTGCTTGGAAGGCAGCTATGCTAACCACTATACCACCAACGCCCAGTTAAAAAATAATTGGAAGAAAAATTAGGTAATTTTAAATATCATATCGAAAAATTATAAATCGCGTTTATCCATGAAGCAAAGCCCTCGGTAAGAAAGTAATGACAACATTTACTAACAAATTCGCTTTGGAAAATTAGGAAGTTTTACGACACCTAGACCTTCTGCCATATAGATGAATTCCATTTCTCTCCCATAACATGTTTGGCTTGTTCTGAAATTTGGGACGGAGGATGAAGAAAGAGAGCCTTTAAGAAGAAGAGAAAACGAAATTATGCAATGGCTTTGTCTCGTGTCAGCAGAGGAAACATCTGAAAAAAGATAACACTTTTGTTGACCCGGCTCTCAAAACTCTGGGTAGATATTTAATTTACCATCTTGAATAGAGAGCTCAGCGAATAACAATCTTCTTATTCGCGCGACAAAAAAGACAACGAACATAACTACACGGAAAAAATAGGTAAATATCTTATGAAGCTAAAGAGAACTCAGAGCAAAGAAAAATATACCCGGTCTTAAAGGTGTAAAAACATTAAGCGACCAATACAGCCGTTCGGTTCAAATTTAATTTCATGCCTGACTCGCCTAGATGATACATTAGAAGCGCCAAACATATAGAAAGCAACAAATGAAGCCACCGAGTCCTGCAGTGTTTGGACACTGAGTTGCGAAGTATTTCTAAAACTATTTCTATTGTGTGATTGTGTGATTACTCGTCATGTTAGCTTCTTGCTCTTCAGAATGCAAAGACTTGAGCGGAGAGAGTTTCTGTGTACACTACAAGAAACTTTGCACAACAAATGTGAATGTCAAACAAGCCTGCAGGAAGACCTGCGGACTCTGTAAGTGTTACTTTCAATTAGTTTCAACCCAATTTTTTGGACTTGAGAGGTGGAAAGAAATCTTGGGACGACCTTTCAAAGGCAAGCCAGCCTGTGCGTATTACACAACGATTTTCTTATAGCTTTTCCCCCTAGGTGCGACCCCAATGGATTGTGATGTCGCCATAGTCGGTGGAGGTCTGGCGGGACTTTACATGGCGGAATCACTGCTGAGACACAAGAAGGAAACAAAAGTGTGTGTTTTTGAGAGAGATGTTCGTCTTGGTGGAAGAATCTTCGATTATGTATTTCCTCAAGTACCAGATGAAGTAGTAGGTAAGTGTGATGATAAAGTGAGCCAATGCACTCGACTCGGGAGAACTGGGGTCGAATACATCAAGTCGAGGCTTGTTTGACATATCTGAGCGGGCTCGCTTTCAAAGTGAGACTAAGTGCAAAACCAGTTTTCTGGTAAAAAAAAGAGTCTCCTTCTTATATAGCTTCGCTCATGGCTTCGCTTGAAGGTTTCACGCATTACCGTTTTTCTTTTCTTCCGATGAGTTTCTCACAGAAATACTGTCAGTAAAGCGTATAATTCTTGTACTTGACCAAATTTTCCGCCGGAGCTTGTGTTCTCATCCAAAAGTATCGTCCAATGAGAAGTGAGCCGAATTCGGTGAATGTGCTGTTACATTAATAAGGCGCCATTGTCAATTAAAAATTAATCTGTATTGTTCAGTCTATGTAAGGTTTAGAGCGGACTTGTCCTTCAACTGATTAGCTAGTGTAGGTTGATATGGAGGTAAATACGATTCAGAGACTAAGCACAACCTTGTTCAATATATGGAGTTGTGTGCACATTTGACTGCAAACTTTTCAGCTGATAAATCAAACCAAAAAGCCTCTCTTTCCTGTGTCAAAAAATAGGTAGAAGATGCCAGGGGAAAAGAAATCTTGCGTCGCAATTGAAAGTATATCATAGAACGTTGATTTTATTCATTATGTCAAGCATAGGACGAAAAAAACATAGTCCCCTTAGAGGAATCGATTATCGAATTTGCGTCCCGTAGATCCGGCACGTTATCGATTGAAGTCTAAAACTGCCCGTGCTGTTTTGAGAATAGTTATATTACATATATGTTATGATGCTTCAACATTTTGGCTTTATCTTCAGGTCTCGGAGCATGGAGAATCGATATGGCTCACTACAACATGAGGTAGGCGTGAATTAGTTTCAGGAGTATCTTTTCTTGTTATGGTACAAGTTGCAGGCGGTGCAATAAAACGAATTACCCAATAAACTACGGTGTTATACAAGGATTTTCCAACGCGCTTTATGCGGATTTTTTTTCGTGGATTGCGTATCCTGCTTTTTTCATTCAATATAAAGTCGACTTTTCATTTTTTGGACTATTAAATGGCTATTGTGTCTATACAATATACAAAATAATGCATGGTCACTTGAAGATATGAAATTTATCTTTTCATGTTCAACTCGATATCTTACTCTTTCGCTCCGCTCACCCGTGAGCTATCGAGTTGAACACTCGAAGAGAAATTCCATATCTACGCGCGCCCATGTATTGTTCTTTCTATAAAGATTAGAGTCCGGTTCAGACCCCTCGCCGGGTCAATGTGTTGTATTCTTGGGTAAAATACTTTACCCTAACTGTGCCTCTTTTTACCCAAGAATATGAACGGGTAACGGCGATATGTCGGGCCAGGAGGCCTGATGGAATGTCGGGGGAGAGGGGGGAGTACTTATACTGCTCCAGGGGGGAGTACTTATACTGCTAGTCGCCTCATTCTATTGTTATGAGCAATTGTTGTAAATATAAGCCTTTAGAAATCTCCAGACTGCTGAGTCATGCTGACTTGCATACCAAAGCACTTTCCAAAACATTTCATCAAGTCACGCAATTGTTAAGTAATACTACTAAAATAGTTTTTATGTGAACCTCTAGAATGCTCCAGAACACTTTGTAAATATATATAAAGACTCACTTACGTAAAAGTAGTAGGAGTTGTTGTTGTCGGAGCGACGACTGTTTTGAAAGCTATACCGAGAGTTACCGCGGAAGATTGCTCATTCCAAGGCCGGTAACTTTGGAGACACCAGTGAGATTGTGCCAGTGGTGAGCTGGGATATAGAATGTGGTGGGCTTAATGAAGGTTATGAACGATAAGTATTGTACTGGTTTTGGGAACTGCTCCTTGTTAAGAAAATTATTTGCTGTTTAATAAAGTAGTTGAGTTTGTGGAATTGTAGTATTTCCCGTGGGTTAGATTATGCCATAACACTATGGAAACTGGAATAAGCTCCGGCTGGTTGACCACTTAGCTCGCGGACAGTCTTAAATTTTTTTTCTCTTTCTTGGGTTCAACTTGCTAGTAGTGCAATTGAGACGATTTGAATTTCAATTGTGCACAAAATTTTTTGTTTCATAGGAATATCCTCAACAGACTAAACATTCCTCACAAAGACTGGAACTTTTACTCAAATCCTCGAACAGAAACTAGAGGTTTCTTCGCACGGGACGAGCATGAAATCAAAAGAAAATCATTCCCGGCTCTAACTCAAGGAAAATTCAAAGACATGACTTGTTCGCAAATGTTGGACTATCTACTCAGAAAAGAACATGTCGATAAAGTCCACAATTTCGCTACGTTTGAGACATTCCAGAAGCACTATTTAACACCTGAAGGTTCCAGGTTTTATTTCGACGTTTTTGGGTATGATGGAGACCTTGACGGTAGTCCAGAAGGCGTGGTAGAATTCTACGAACAACTAGCTGCACTTACAGGAAAAGAGATTCGTCCTTTAAGAGGGATGTCGGCATTCATCGAGGCTTTGGCCAAATCGGCAAGAGGTCTGGGCACAAAAATTTTCACGGGCGATAACCACAAGATTCTATCAATAGACAAACAAACAAACCAGTTCGTCCTTAAAACTTCACAATACGAAGTAAGCGTCGGGAAATTAGTTGTGGCTGCTCCTCCGGGTGCGTTTGGAAGTGTCAGCGGTAGCGTAGCGGAACAGATTCAGCGCGCACCAGAATTTCAGTCCATCCTACCCCGCCCAGCATTTAAGGGGGCTGCAGTGTACCCCACGGCGTGGTGGGAAGAAATCACGAATGTGAAGGACAAGTTGTACCCCATGGAGAGATTTTTATCCAACAGTGATTGTCTTGGATGGACGTTACCACATAGGTGGGGCTTGTTGACAAGATACACCTGTATATTCTCATCAATATATATCAAAGCTCCGTAAAAAAAAAAAAAAAAAAAGTAATGGGAAAAGAGAAATAGTTAGCTTTCTAAATTTTACGACTACGATTCGTGTAACTAACGTAAAACAATCTCTAATTAGAGCGGTTTTTATTAAAATGCAAACTTCCTTGCTTTCTATCGGTCTAGAATAATTTCGTTTCTAAAGCGATACAACATAATCATTTTTTTCCTCTTTTCCAAAGGTCTGGGGTTCGATTCCTCATGGGTTCCAGCCTTGTGACAAGGCGAAAAAGCTATCTTTTTTTTTCTATTAATTTTAATACCGAGTTTAAAAATTCCTATCTTTTCAATAATTGTCTCGTTTATTACCAGCGGGAGCGGTCGAAATGGTGAGGCAGTTCTTCACGTAGCTTACACGGACGGTGTTTGTGGCGAAAAATGGGGCGAGATCCTCAAATTACCAAAAGACGTCATGGACCGAGAAATTCACCGCGCCTTGGAATACAAGTTTAACAGAAAAATCCCCAAACCTCTGAGCACAGTGTATCAGTATTGGAACGAAGGTGCATGGTAAGAGAATTCTCTCTGAAGGCCAGCCATTGTAATCATTACTGAAAAGGGTAGTACTTTAAATTAACAATTACCTAGCAATCCTGTCGTGCATTTGAAAAGTGTGTTCTTTTCCCTCTTGTCATTGCGTCAGACTACCTATCTTTTCTTTTGATTGAGTGTCGTGAAAACAGACAAAAGCTATTTCAATCACCAATCAGAGCCAATGAAAAGAATGAAACGAGCCGATGAAACTCAATGTTGTAATGAGTGAATTTCCTGAGGCAGGAAAAGGTTATTAATCAGGTCGCCATTGGTTGTGAATGTGTGACACAAGTTTTTTTCCGACCAATCATAAGGTGAAGTCAACCAAAACTAATGTAAATGTGGATTATTCTTGACACTCATAAAAGAACTGTGAAATCTTACACTGGGTTAAAAAGGAAAATTTCTACTTCGACTCCAGTTCTGTCATAAAAACAAGTCTCCCAGACCATTCAGAATACGCTTTCTTTCATTCCAGGTACTTACAGAAACCTGGAAGCCGCGTTTCCATGAAGCAAGTCACCCAATGGGCAAAGAGACCTATTGCAGGAGAGGAGATCTACGTTATTGGTAGCGCATATCATCCCTATCGGGGGTACTCTGAGGGTGCTATCATGTCGGCCAACAATGCTCTGAACGATGGTTGGAAAATACCTATACCCAGTCCTCCGCAACAGCAGTACGCGCCAAAAGGTTTCGCGGATGTAAATTGGAAGAATATAAGATAAAATACGTGTTTAGCAAAGGAGCTATTCCTTCGACTTGTGACAATAAAACACACTTCTTCAAGTGATAATATGTTTGTGGTTCATTTTGCAGAATTTTTAAAAATCTTTCACCGCAATGCGACTCTGCAGAACTCTCCATTTAATACCATGGAAAACATATGGCTTCAAAAAGCTGTTGAGATCAACTTTTTTATCTGTTTTCCATGCTTTGGTGCTGCGTCGGTGGGAGAGTATAACAGGGTGATATAGTATTAGCAACAGAGTTGATTACGTAAATCGACCACCGTAAAGAGTTTGAAAGCTGACGTTTTCAGCGTTAGCTCCAAGTCCTTCGCTCTGACAAAGGGCTAACGTTCGAAACGTTAGCTTTCAAACTCTTTACGGTGGCCAATTTATGTTATCAATTCAGCTAATAATACTATATTACCCTAAGAGTAATATGACTCAACAATAATGAAAAGATTATCATTCTTACTGCAAGTTACAAACTTGCACTTTGTCGTACCTCAGGAGAGATGATCTGATTGTGAGTGCGTAAGTCAAATAAAACAATTTCTTTCTGTCCGCTTTCTTGTGGTTTAGGGCAACATCAATAAAGTAAGTCATAATGACTTCACTCCCCTGTCTGATCTACAAAATATACACTTCCTTAGTTTATAACAGATAAAATATCAAATGTTGGGACTGTCTTCTGACATCCAAAGCAGGACTTGCATCACGTGCCTCACATCAAACCACCATATATCTGACTAGTATTGGAAACTTCTATGTGTCTGAATGTGGTCCAGTAGTTGCTGAAGGTCATCATCATCAAACCCTTCCTCCAAGCTGAAAAAGAGAGTTTAGATAAGAAAGCTTTCTGCAACAAGTTGAGCAAGTGTTTATCATCATAGGCAATGGGTTTTAACAAAAAAAACTTATCCTCCAGTGAGTGACCATGGGGGGGCGGGGGGGGGGGGGGTTTACCAGTTGCATAGTATTTTCCCAAGTTCTTTAGGGGTAAGGAAAAATGCGAGCAATGTGTATGCAGTGAAACAAGGATTTTAAACCCTTTCACTACCACGATCTCATAAGAAATTCTCCTTACTGTCTCCAGTACAATTCTTGTAATGTTAGTTAGGGAGAATTTGTGTTTGGGTCAACTAATAATCCCCTAATTGATATTTTTCTTTATTCTCTCCACTTGTCTGCTTGATAATGTATTGAGATTGTAAGGAGAAATTCTGTCTTGGTCATTCATGGGAGTTAAAGGGTTAAACCTCTATTCCTAGGAATGACTGGCATCTAATTTCTCTTTGCAGTATCACTGCCAAATAACAACATTAGGTGTAAAGAAAAAGGCAAGTGATCCCTCACCAAACAAACTTTTGACTGTTACACAAATTCTCCTTAACAACTCCATAGACAACGTATAAAGAACAGAATGGAGAACATGCATACTGATGCTAGGGTCTGAAAGGTAAACACTCACCTTGGAATCAAGGCCTTAGCTTCTTCTGCTGTGTCAGGACATAAATTGGCCAAACAGGCCAGTTCAAACTTGTGCAGTTTCTTCTTGCCTAGCAAACTATAACAAGAGGTTTGGATTGTCAGAAACTGAAAATAAGGTTGACCTTTTTCGCAACAATCAGTCTGGGGTAAAACTAACTGGCAGATGAGAGAAGGTGGTTGTTTTACAGAGGTCACTACTCTGTTTAGAAAAAATAGTTTCCATTTTCCTGTGCATCTGTTCAGTGAAGATCACAGATGACATCAAAATGTGATAAGGAAAAAAAATGGCTCATGAGGCACCACAGAATATCACTGATGTTATTATGTTTTGATGTGTTCTGTGATCTATTACTTAACAGAGCCATGGCAACATGGAATCTCTTTACTTTATATGATAGAAAAGCAAGATGTTGTTAATAATAGATCATAAGAAAGAACCAATCAAATGCATGTAAAATACAGCTTATTATATAAACTAAAATCTCCTTTATTACCCACCTCCAATGCACAAATAGTCTTGATCAGTCAAGCATCACTGATCAGTTGCTCTTAATGTCTGAGAAGATTGTCTTTGATTTACAAGCATAACACTCTTTTATTTTACTTATAGAATTGGCCAACATGTCATGGCAAGATCTTTTTTCTGGCCTTTAAACTCCCACAAGTGATAAAAATGTAACTTTCCCTATAACATCCATACATTATCAAGCAAACAGGTAATGAGGATACTCAAACTTATCAGGTAGATGTTATAAATCTTGATCTAACACCAAATTCTCGAAACTAATTTAAAAGGAAATGTGTAACGGCTAGAGGGGAGAATTAACAATAAGACCATGGTGGTTAAAGGGTTAAGTATTTTCTTACTCTGAGCTTTCTTTGTACTTATATCAGCATTGAATTAATTTCATTCTGTTACCTTCTAACTTGAGCGATAGTTTCTCTGTTTTTATATAGACCAAACTTCTGTGTGTAGTAAAGGGTTTTCTAACTTGAGCGATGGTTTCTCTGTTTTTATATCGACCAAACGTCTGTGTGTAGTTAAGGGTTTTCATGAAATCTTCCGACAGTTTTTGCTCTTCTTCTGCTTCTTCGTTCTGCGTCTTTCTGTGTTCCAACAATATGTACACTTCTGAGTTTAACAATGTTACCGCACTTTAGAATTCTAATTTCCAAAGAGCCTTCGTTCTTAGCGGTATCGGAAGCCTTACAGCAGCACCTGGGAATGTTACAAAGCCTTTTCTACATTAATAATGAGACTTTTAATATGTGGAGCCATATCGTGGTTTGTTTTTATTTTATCGTGCAGTACTCCGTGGTCTTGAGTATTGAGTTAGGAAGTTCGTCCTCGCCGAAACAGCATCTTTTTACCCAATGTTACCATCGGCTATCCGGAGCATCACAATCTGCGTGTTGAGTGCTACAGCTTATACATTTAACTCATGGTCAGAGAAGTTGCACAGAGTTTTCTACTTCTCTGACTATGCCGATATTAGAATCTACACCTACACCTCCGGTCAAGTCAGGATGTTCTTCGACAATCGACCCACCCGAACCGGATGGAGAATTTTCGAAACTGCATTGTTTTACACGATCATCGGCGCCAGTTTGTCTTTCCTGGCAACTTTCCTATGCTGCTAGAGTAAAGCACGGCTCGGCGATCCGCATAATTCCAGTGTTCGCTGGCTGGTAGGACACTGTTATCTCTTGCAGTTGGCGTGACAATAAACAGCTGTCACGCTGTCACGACATGCCAATCCTTCATCGCCTGTAATGAGCTGCTAATCACATACTTTTGATGTCGCTGCTTTTACTCAATCGTGGGCGAGTTGATTTATGGAACGACTCTTGCCAGGAAAATTCGATATCATAGGAAGCAGCCATCATTTTCTTCACATTTTTGGCGCCCTCTCCACAGAATACGCCTTCAAAATTCTGCAAGTTGCCATCGAAGGTCGTAAGGATGCAAGAAATTAAGTTTTGGCAAAGTCGCTGGTTGGTATATCGATCTGGGAAACATTGTTACCTACGGTTGTAGTATTTGTCTTTAACATCAATATTTTGATGATCTCACCTCATTGGCGGTCAATTTTCAATTTTGGCCTCCTTTGTACTCTCTTAGCGCCGACTGATCCCCTCTCGCTCCCTCTAAAAACCAAGTGATCCTCCTCAAATTCTCCTACACCACCCCTCCCTCCTCTTTTTTCTAGAGATAAAGAATCTCTGGTCTATTCCCAATAACTTAACCCTTTAACTCCCAGATCAAATTTGTCATTCTCCTTACTGTCAATTACACAATCCTTATAATGTTAGTTCAGAAAATTTAGCATTGGATCAATTAATTATCCCCAAATTGATAGTTTCTTTATTCTCATCACTTATCTGGTTGATATTGCATTGATATTGTAAGGAGAAATTCTTTCTTGGTCACTCATGGGAGTTAAAGGGTTAATCACAAGGATACAAAGAGAGCCCTCCTTGGGGGACCCATCCAGTTTGATCAGTATATGATCTAGAAACATCCGCCGCACCACCCCCCTCCCCCACTCACCTCGGCAGCGGGTAAATAAGCTGGGGTGAGAACATGGATACAGCTCTCTTGTGCTGTCGATGGATATTGCGTTTCGGTTCCCTTACGGAAGTCTGTCATGTGGAGAAAATATTTTCAGTGTCCGACAAATTGCATAAACCTGCGGGTAGTTCTTTCTTCATTACGCGGTGTTTGAAAACTTCAAAGACTTCAGTCAGTCAAAGTTTAAATCGTCAATTAGCGCCAGGGATGATCGTGATGCATTTGCAAGACACGTTTGCGGCAGGCTAAACCCGCTAGAAAAAAGAATTACTTTTAAAATACATCGATTTCCGTAAACCGAGGCTGTTTGGCGCAAATCGGTGCACTTCAAAGGGGTGTTGCAGTGTTTATGTTTTTTGTACACGAAGCTGACAATTGTCGGGTCTGTTTAGTTTAAAAGAGGGCTAAGGTTTCAGAAGTAAGTATTCATCTGATGAATCTATTTAGGGCATCTGTCGATTTCCGGCTTGCGTGTCTAGAGAAGACAGCTACAACACACTTGTCGGTTACATTCATTCGGTAACCACTTAGCCGTAAACTTTGGCACAAAACTGGTGGAAAGATGAATTCTCTTCGTAAGATCGTCATAAGGCTTGTGGTAATTCTTTACGTCTTGGTGGAATGTTTAGGATTCGACGGATCTTGTTGCCAGCATGGATGTATAAACACTCTAGGAGGAATTCGTTGTATCTGTAGAAGAGGATTCAGGCTTGTGAATCGCTGCCAATGCAGAGGTAAGCTGTATAATAAGTGATTTCGAAATTTCACTTCTTGTAGTATGTTTTAGAATAGGAAAGCGTTTGAAAAACTCCCACATTGCCAAGTATTATGAACACTAACATTGCTGACTTCGGAAAAACATTAAGAACAACCTATTTTGCGTGCTAAACTCTGTCAACAGAATATTTCTTTGACCCAATCATGAATGTCTACTCGTGTCTCAGTGTAGTGCGGACATCTTCCGTTTGTTCTCCTCGATGGCAACTTGAGACACTAAGTCGGTTTTCCTTGTTCTAATTGAGCATCGGATAAAAATAAAGACTCCTCGCTTCTTTAAATTCATTTTTTTAAGCACTTTGAAGGAACGGAAAACGTGATTGTTTTGATTAATTATTAGAAGCGCTGAACTGACATCTCAGTAAACCGCAAGCATAAAATAGCAGGGGGGCTTAATTTCGCGCGCGATAAGTCAAATTGTCAGTAGATCATATTATTCTTGCGGCAATCGTTCTTGAAAGTTATAAAACCTTGATGATAACAAGACATGACAAGCTATGAATTGAGTATAGCTATATAAGTCGCGATAAGATTGTCTCCACAACGCCAATTTATCGTTCATATTATCAACTATTGATTGAAAAGAGGAGTTTTTCGACTGTGATCTCAAGCGAAGTCCATTTCCACAACTCGAGTCAATATTTCAAGAATCATCTGATACAATACAGGAATGTCTTTAACTGAAGCTATATGGAATTGTAAGAATTATTTCTACATGTTTGCCCTTTAGGCGTTTTAAGAAACATTAGACCTTTCATGAGGGATTTCTTCCCTGTTCTCTGTCAAACGATCTTTCTGCAGGTAGCGTTATCCCGTGATTATCTTTCTTAAGATAATTACCTTAAGGATTACGAGGCTCCTGAGGTTACAGCGTATAATCTCTTCGCAGCTGTAACTTATCTGACATAGAATTTCAGCTTGATATACTGAAGTCATGACTTGTATCAGCTGCACACGACCTGGTCTCTGGTCTCGCATGAGTAAAATCAAAATGGGAGGAAATAGGAGATTCACTGAAAATCAAAGCTAACTTGGTGCCAACCAATGAAACTTCGAGGCTTGCGCTGCCTCGAGGAAGGCTACTTACGCTCTTTTTTTTTTCCTTAAAAAAAAAGGCTTCACCACTTGAAATTAGTCTTTTTCAGAGCTAGTATTTCTCTGCTTCGTGCAGTTACTTGCTCTTTGAAGTTTCTCTGTATACAGTAATGTTTCTAGGTGTTTGGTGTGACAGGATGCCAAAGAGGAAATTCTGTCGGCCATATGTGCGCGTACAAACTACTTCTGAATCAAATCAAACCATAAGAAGCTGACAGATGGTTCTGCTTTCGCTCGATGACAATTACTTGTCGGTTTATAAAATCAAATCCATGCCAGTCGTCATACCAAGTTTGCTCATTTGAGCGGAAGCTGGGTTTTGTTAAACGCAGTTGCTTGAAGTAAGGTCCTCCAAGACTCAAAACACGTGTTATATTGCCCCAAGCGTAGACGTTTGCAAACAGCTGTCGTGCTTCCTTCATAGACTTGTACCCCATTTTTCGACTCCAAATTTGGTACAATAAAAATGAACGTTAATGAGAACTTAAACCCTTCGTAAAATTCAGCTTTTCAGTTTTCTAATGTTGAATTTTGTTCAGGGAAACCTGGATTGACTAAGCATGTTTTGTTGGTGCGAACAGGGCATTACATAACGGACATGGCTTCGATTAACAGCCTCGTTTGAACTGTTTACTTTCGAGTGACTAAGAAATCATTTAGAACTTTTTCTCATGTCATGTCTCCCGTTTCAAGAGGGTTTATAGATTATTTTAAAACTCAGGCAGCTGACGAAGGTTAGTGTTGTTAAAACTCTTAGATAAATGTTCTGTTGTTTATAATACTTTGTTTTCGTTCATCATGGGTAAGCCTTCGTCGAGAGAAATACGATATGTTTAAGACAAACTCTGAGAAAACGTAATTATGTTGTGACTAATTGATGGTATCTATCAGATTATAATTTCTTTTCAAAGCAAGTCTCCATGGTCCGCCGTTGCGCTGTTGGAATGAAAAAACGGGGGCTGTTTCATTGATCCAAGAGTTAACACTTTCTCGTGACTGAGAAGAAAATAAATGTACTCGTCGATTAATTTTGATACTCTTTAGCCTTAAAGGATTAATTTCGACCTGACAAGTACGGCGACATAGGCCATCAGGACTCAAAGTTGATACAGACCTTGACCAAACTAGATTAGAAATGAGACATAATTCATAATTCAATCCCTGAAAGGGGGGGGGGGAGGTCGGGGGATTTTTTTTTTTTTTTGAGGAGAGGGGGAGGGTGCAAAGTTTTAAGGAGAACAAAGGGGGGATCAGTCAACGGAGAATAAAGGAGGGACTACGTAAAATTGACGGCCAATTAACCAATTACAGGGGATTACAAAAACATTACATAGTCTTATGAGGGGGGAGGGCAAAGAAGTACTCTTTGCGACTTCTGATATAACCTCGATACAACCTTGGGGGCTGGGGTGAGTTCCATGATGCTCGCAGCAAAACGGATCCAACTAGATCACAATGATAATAGAAAGCTACGTGGAATCATTTCTTTAAGAACTTTTCTGCTCAGTATGAAAATCTTATTATGTAAACATTTGTCCCCTGACAGTCAGAAGTATCCTTCGCTCATGAAACTCAGTTCACTGTGATTGGCAGGTTCTGGAGAACATTATGTTTCAAACGTGAGCACTGAACACTGAACATGATTCATTGTTTTCGAAGTCTTTGTTATTTGTGTTTCATAAATAACATTTTCTGATCTTCTTCAGTCCTGACAAGCTTTCTTGTTAAAGCGCAGAGTCTGTTATTTTATGTGCTACCCTATGTTATTGTTTCCATGAATCTACTTTACTTTGTTTGTTCATGACAAAGGTGTTATGCCTTGCGGTCATAACAAGTCTCTTGATTATTACTTCTACTAAAAGATTCTTAGAGTTGCCAATATTCATCAGTTATTGGAGCTGAGATTCTCACGATCTCTCAGGATGACCGTCTAAAAAACAAATTAATTCCATGTTGTCGAGTGTCTGTTCTGTAATGGATCACAGATGACGTTAAAATGTGGTAAGAACAAAAAAAGTGACACACGAGGCGCAGCCGAGTATGTTAGTGATGTTCTCACCACATTTTGACGTCTTTTGTGATCTGTTACTTTGCAGATCCATAGCAACATGGAATCTATTTGTTTTATATGATAAAAAAGCAAAATATTGTTGATGGTGAAGTTATATATGCGTCTGTCCTCTAAATAAGAACCGATCAAAACGCGCGCATAATTTAGCATATATTGTATTGATTATAATATTATGAGGCTTATCCTGTGAAATGGTTCAGCTAATAAATGGATGTCTCTGAAAACGCTTTCGTCTTATCACAAACGTAGGAAAAGGAAAAACTCTGAGTTTCCATAAGGAATCGATTTTCAGATCTTCGGATTCAGTGCTTCTCCGCACAACCTCAGAGTTTCACGCACTCCAGTGTGACGAGTGACCGAGGGCACTAGAAGGTTAATGTGAGGTTTTGCGTTTTAAGATGGCGTGATGGCAGACCAATGTACAAACACGAAAGCACATTTTTAGTTTTTCGATGACGATAGGTCTCAATTAAAAACAACTGCGCAGGTATTGTTGCTCACGAATACCACAGAAGGGCTTTGCAAGGCAAACATTTTCTTTGTGGTCGCTTATTAAAAAAATTGCAACTCGTTACCCCTAATCAAACTCGTCCTAATATCTAGGGAAACTCGAGGTGGCACTTAATTGGACACCGAAGAGGACTAGGTTGGAAACTTGATGACGTGAAACTGGAGGAAATTCGATTGGATGAGTTTGAAAATCTCAAACTTGTGAAAGAAAAGTAAACGTTACCTTACATGTTTGATGAATCCACGAGTTGTTCTCAATAATTTAGTCTTCTACTCATCTATTACAGATTTTAATGAGTGCACAGTGCGGAACGGAATGTGTCAACAACGCTGCATCAATGCTTTTGGATCCTACAGGTATCATAAGTCTGTCATTCTGAATAAAAAAAAAAAAGCAGTGAGTATATATTCTGTCCTAGAAAGACCAAGTTTAACTACACAGCAAATGCATTGTGAGCGTTGTCATATTTTTGGACATTACCTCATTTACTCTTTTCGGCCTTAATTGGTCAGCCGAGTATATTAAAATTACTAAACTTATTTCGTAGGTGCGAATGTGCAAATGGTTACGTACGCGCGCTTGGGAATCCACGACGATGTGTAGACTTGGATGAGTGTAAGATGGTAAGGCACGTCAGAGGTTCCAATTTTATGCTGTGGTTTTATGCTAGAAACAGTCAGCAAGTTTAAACTCATTTCTCGCAACTCACGATGCTTGCTATTGGTGAATAATTGATACACTTTATTTCAGGGCATTTCTGGTTGTAGTCAAGGCTGTCAAAATACTGTCGGCTCTTTTCGATGTTTTTGTCGCCGAACAGGTTATGTTTTAGATTCAGATCAAAGATCTTGCAAAGGTGAGTTATGTCGGTGGTGTGTCTTACAATACAAAACGACTGTCAGATTGAAAGATCGATTAACTGATAGAATGAGTGATTGACATGTTAAGCTGACCGAAGGACTGACTGGCTGACAGACTGACCAATTAAGTGATTGACAGATTTACTGACTGACTGACTGGCTAATACACTGACCTATTAAGTGAATGACGGATTAACTGAATGACTGACTGATTGGATGACCTACTGACTGGCTGACTGACCAACTTAGTGACTGACTGACTGACAGACTGACAATCTGACTGACTGACTGACTTGCTGGCAGACCGACTAATTAAGTGAAAAACAGATTTACAGACTGACTGATTGGCTGACTTACTGACTGTTTAACCTACCACCTGGCTGACCACAACTAAACTACTGGCTGATTAGCTGGCTCACTGGCTGATTGACAAGCCTACCGACAAACTGAATTTTCATGACTGACCGATTGACAAGCTCCAGTCAAACTGATTGACCGACTGACTCACTGACTGACTGACTCACTGACTTACCGATTGATTGACCAAACGACCAATTGACAAACTAACTGACTGACTGACTCACTAACTGACCGACTGACTACTAAATGACTGACTGGCGAATGAACAGTCGGTCTGAAGGACTGATCGCTTAACGGAAACTAACGATTGCCTTTACAGCCAGACCAGACACATATATAACAAAATTCACTTTTGAATGAAAGATTTTTTCTCAAATTAACCCTTTTTCCTCTCTGCAGTGTCACAAATTTTCACTGCGCTTCCAACTAAAAGTCCCGAAATCATTGAAGACACCAGCATTGCACACCGGAAAGACTTACAGGGAATCCAAGGTAAAGGCATGAAATCAAGAATCTTGTGCAGAACCTGATTCTGAAAAATCGATGAAACATGGATTTAACTGTCTGAACACATCAACCAAAACTTGAGCACAAGGATCTTAAAGACACCAGCAGATTACTGAAAGGAAAGGACAACTATATCTGGTGTGCTTTAGCATCAACAAATAAAGTGAAGCTGTTCCAGTAAAAACAACACTTAGATTTTGGTTCGTGTACGCCATAGTCTAAGTTTCCAATCATCTCTCCTTTGTTTTTCTCTTTCAGCCTGTCCTCCGGGGTACATCGGTCCTGGCTGTCGTATGACATGTGACGACTGTCAAAATGGTGCGCGGTGTGACATTAGAATTGGACAATGTCTTTGCTCTCCGGGTTGGACTGGAATTTTATGCAATGATCGTGAGTATGAAATTATAGAAACTTGAACGCAGCAGCCTGATGTCTACTGCGCTGTAATCGGGTTCAAGTAGCCTGGCTTCGATCTCTAACCGGCATAATTTTCTTGTGTTGTCGAACAAGACATTTTTCTCCCATGTTACCTTTCTTCGCCCAATGGTATGAACGGGTTCTGGTCAATTATCAAGGCGACCTAACGAAAAGCTGAAGGATGAAATGTGATAAACCAGCACTAAATTCAAGGGAATAACAATACTTTTAGTCACTTCCTGCCAAAGAAATCGGAATAAGCTTTAAAATTACCGGTCGTCTGGATACTATGAAACACTTGAAGATTCCCAGTTGAATTTTAAACGAGTATGATGCCATCAAATGCTGGCATTCTAAGAGGATTAAATACTATTTCCTATAAAGAAAATTTGGTCGTAGTTTCTGCTGTCTATTGGTGAGATAAGCATCGTATGAAAGGAGAATCATTTCTGAAAAGTCAAAATGAAACGGACACATGTAGCTTGAGTATAATATATTTCTTCATAGGCCTTGGGTATTGTGCGGGAACTTCCCTCTTTGGGTTGCACGCTAAAACAAGGAAGTAGCTTTAAGTTAGGAGTTAAACTGAAACAACAAGTACCATTAAGCTTGCGAACTGCCCCTCATTATTAGCAGGTGCGTTTCACCCACGCAGAAGTATAAGGTCTGCGAGAGGCCTGTAATGATCCTAACACATTATTAGTGCCGGTCCCAGGTAAACCTCTCCCCGACTCGTCTCAAATTCTCCTGCCGGTGGAAAAGCGCGCGCCCTGTAACGTTAAAGATGAGGGCCTGTTCGTTGGCTAAGCACTATTTGGAAATATTTCATCCTCCACACCATTTGTAGGTGGTATTCTTCTTCTCATGAGAGAACGTGAAGGCAATTCAGCTTTGCGCATTAAACTTTACTTACAATTTTTTATCATTATCTCCTTGTGATAGCATGTCCGGGGGAAAGATTTGGAAAGGACTGTAAATTTAAATGCTTGTGTAAAAATGATGCGAAGTGCAATAAAGTGACTGGTGCATGTTCTTGTCGACCAGGATTCCTGGGAGACCTGTGTGATGAAAGTAAGTTTCACGTGACCGCTTAGCGGGAAACTGTTTTACTATGTCTGTAGATATCATGTTGAGTATTTAGTTAAAGTGTTGCTGATGATGACTTTATGAATGCATGGTCAGAGCTAAGATAAAATTCTCGAATTTGATCGATTTTTTAAGCAGCCAGATTTGAGCACAAGTAGGACACGCCAGTCGTGCTTGTGAATAAACATTGTGATGGGACAGTATACATGCTGTGCAGTTGGACAGTAAGCGTCATTTGCGCGCCATGATATGTTAGCTATCGAGTTTATATTCTCGTGGAAAAAAGAGACAAGAAGCTACTAAGGACTCAAGGTAAAATTAAACTGTATGAAGCGTGGGAAAACGCGAAGGACCAAGTCGTGATTTGCTTTAGTTTTAAGGAAGTAGCGAGAGCTTTCAACTATACAACACAGTAAAGCAAAACCGAAGCAATTACGGGTTGATTTTGATACTTAATTGAAAACTGCTCCATGTATTAGTTGTATTACTTTTGCTTGGAGTTCGCACCCTCCACAGAAATCAAAAATTTCCTTTGGCTCACATTAAGTTTGTCTCATTGCAAATCTTACCGTTTTTCCTTATTGGTTTCGTGTTTTCAGTCTCCTCTTTCATTGATAGTAATGAAGTGAAATATCTAACGTTCTCTAAACATTTCACGCTAGCTTGTCCTACCGGTTTCTATGGAGAAGGATGTAAGCAGAAGTGCACATGTGTTCACATGGAACCTTGCCATCCGGTAACTGGCACGTGTCAGTGTGACCCAGGATTCTTTGGGGCCCACTGCTCTAAAGGTAGATGTCACTCAATATAGTGTTGAAACTGATTTTTGCCCGCTGGTTTTACTGTAATAATCTTCCCTAACAGGGTGCCCCTCAGGGTCCTTTGGAGCAGCGTGCAGAGAAAAATGCAAGTGCCTGGCTGATCATACAGAAAGGTGCGACCCTAAGGATGGAACATGTGACTGTAAGCCTGGTTATCTAGGCAAACACTGCTCAAACAGTAAGTTTTCGTTTAGTAACTTGTTACAAAGAGGGGTTAAACTGCGGGTATTCTGTCGATTTTTTTGGTGAAAAGAAAAACTTCAGGCGAAAGAAGACCCATGGATGACTCCTAAAGAATAGCGGTGACTTTATGCTCTGCCCGCTGGGTTCCAGATCTATTTCTTTGACGCTTCACCCGTGCAGTAGCTTCCTCCGCCCAAGCGTAAAAATCGACAGATTCAGCTGAAGTTTTTGAATTCTTGTTGCTGACCAATTCAGATCATGAAATGATTCAATTAGCAGATTGTAATTGTTCAGTTTTATCCTACTCCAGTGCACCAGGTTTTGTGTGCCAAGTAATAGAATTGTAACCTTCCAAAGGTAGATGTATCTTACTACAAAGTTAAATATATGGCAAGAAGGAAGTAAACACATTCGCCTTATCCAGTTAGTACAGGCTGACTGTCCCAGAAGAGACAGGCTGGAGAGAGATTTCGGATGATTTGCTCAGGAAGAGTAATACTCTTAATAGTGTTGCACACCACGGAAACCTGGTTAATTTCTTGCGGGGATGCAATTTTTCGTTTTTCTTATTTCATTCATTTTTATCATTACATTACATTTACTGAAAATATATCAAATACCAACTAACAGGCTCGCCATTTAAAGTTCTTCAATCTATCATTTGGAAAGCATTATTTTTCTCATGTTTTTCTTTTAAATCGTAATGAACTCTGATAGAATGTCCTGATGGAACTTATGGCAAATACTGCCTAAGAAGATGCAACTGCCCTGAAGCTGTGCGTTGCGATCACGTGCACGGCAAGTGTGATGTCACGTGTCCAGCGGGCCTGACTGGACCAAATTGTCAGAAAGGTAACGAAAGACTTCTTCCGTAAAATTACTGGTGGATGCTGTATGTAAAGTACGCAATGAGTTGTTGTCGCGCTCTCCACAGACTATTTAGTTCCACGGGTGCGCGATGGATATGAGTTGGTGAACAGTAAACGAAGCGCGTAGTGCCTAGTTGGCTATTACCAATCTCGTATCCAACAAGTACGAATGGAATAATTTTTCATAAATTTTTTATTAAATCCTAAACTTTTGGATAGTTGGAGCCTTTTTGCAGCTACGACCAGTTGGCGTAATACATTTCCATATAAAGTGACACGGAATATGAGCTGACCACCGGAGTTAAGTGAACAATCAAAACACTAAATACTCTAAAGTTGAAAATTTGATCATGCCTATTATTTTATATCTTGATAACTAAATGCAGTGAAAGATATTTAACCATCAAAAGCTTTTAAGACATCTTTTAGGTACAAGGTTTCACCGCACTGTAATTACTGAATAAAAAATAAAAATGACATTGTGTCAGGAGTGGGATTCGAACCCACGCCTCCATTTGGAGACCAGAATACTTTGCTACCATCTTAATGGTAAAGGACTTTCTCCTTGAGTCTGGCGCCTTAGACCGCTCGGCCATCCTGACAACGTGATGTAGTACATAAAAAAAATCCGGTAAAAATTCAAATCTACATTGAAATCTTACTGAATAAAAAATAAAAATGACCTTGTGTCAGGAGTGGGATTCGAACCCACGCCACCATTTGGAGACTAGAATACTTTGCTACCATTTTAATGGTAAAGGGCTTTCTCCTTGAGTCTGGCGCCTTAGACCGCTCGGCCATCCTGACAACGTGATGTAGTACATAAAAAAATTCAGTAAAGATTCAAATCTACATTGAAATCTTACTGAATAAAAAATAAAAATGACATTGTGTCAGGAGTGGGATTCGAACCCACGCCTCCATTTGGAGACCAGAATACTTTGCTACCATCTTAATGGTAAAGGGCTTTCTCCTTGAGTCTGGCGCCTTCGACCGCTCGGCCATCCTGACAACGTGATGTAGTACGTAAAAAAATTCAGTAAACATTCAAATCTACATTGTTAAAGTAAGCATCGACATTCGGAGAAGGAACAAAAAAGCTGCATGGTAGCATTCTTTATGGTCATGGAATCCCTATAGAATTAGCAATATCAACTTAGGCAAATATGGAGGAGTCCACTGGACCCAAAAATTACAAAATCTAACGCTACCGTTTTTGTGCACAAATGTTTAAGGTGTGCAATTTATCCAGAGGTCAACGTAGGCTAACATAAGGTGCTAATTGAAAACGCGTGTGAAAAATTTGCTAGGTGTTCTCGGAATTGCCAATCCTTATTTTGATACCTGAAGGGATTCATTGTTATCGTCATCGACATTTGCTGAAATTTCATGTATCTTGAAGCGTTGTGTAGAGGAATGTTCTATGGTTTACTTTGCCCTCATTATTAGCCCTTCAGCAGAAGCGTTTCTTCGTCCGGGAAAAGATATGAGGCCCTAGGCTACGCCCACTAGCAAGAGATTTGCTAGGAGTTTAGCACGACTAGACCCTCAACAAACCCCCCTTTTCCCCCTCCCTCCCTTCAACTCGTCTGAAAATGAGGGACTGCTCGCAAAATATCATGCATATCGACCTACTAATGGTATAAGACGAAGTCATTTCGAAATGTTCGTGATTGTCGCGTAGTTCATATAGGTAGAGCACGTATCAATCTGTTGTTGTTGTGCTCCGTAAGCTATCAGTAAAGCTGTGAGTTGCTGACTACAAGAAACTAACACATGCTGCTTGTACGACGACAGCTGAAATGACAAACTGTTGGAAAATATAGTTTTTATTCCCTCGTTCTCCTCTTTTCCTCATGTAGTATGCGCCCAAGGTACTTTTGGTCATGGATGCAGTCAGCGATGTCAGTGCAGTGGTGGTGTGACATGTGACCCCGTGACTGGTTCCTGCATTTGTCCCATGGGAAAAATGGGATCCAGGTGTGACGAAGGTGAAGAAAAGCCTGTCATTTCTCTCCGTAGAGGTCTTGGAGTGTTACTGCCATTTACAAATAGTGATCATGAAAATTTTCTGAAAAAAAAGTTCCTAATCTGTCTCAGGAACTCATCAGAGTTGTAAGCTTTCCCTGTTATATTAATTATCTATTTCAGTAGAATATTGCCGAAAAAAAATTGGATCAATGTCAGTTTCTGAGCAACTTCTCTAATTCAACATTAACCCTAGCTCGTCCTCTGTTAACTGTTATTGGGTTGGGGGAGGGGTAAGCGTGCAGTTATTCAGATACTGACATTGTGAGCGATTATGCTGTTTCTTTCCCTAATAGTATGCCCCGAGGGCCGGTTCGGTTTTAACTGTGACCAAGTTTGCGACTGCGCAGAAGGAATCAAGTGTGACGCCATGTCAGGAGCGTGCGTATGTGCTGACGGAAGAACCGGCAGGCGTTGCGACCGATGTAAGTACGGTTTTACATCGACTGCTTTGGTCCAACGCTACTTACACCGTGTGTTTGATCATCTGACTTTGGGAGCTTCTCGCTTTGTATCCGTGAATAACCTTATTAATAGTTTCTGCGTTTTCTAGTCTGTCCAGCGGGAACATATGGACGCAAGTGTCTCAACAAATGCCAATGCGCTGGTAGATCCCGTTGTGATCCAGTCAGCGGTGAATGTATCTGCCCTGCGGGAAGGACTGGAACTAGGTGTGAGAAGGGTAAGTAAACTTCTGAGGATTTTCTAGGGCCACTTTAAAACATCCGTGTCTTGCAAGCTAACTGAGCATAAAATTTTGCTTGCCATCATGAAATATTTTTATAGTTAACGGGTCTTTAAGTGTTTTCTAAAATCTGCGTAAACTTCATGCGCTCGTGCGATTTTGTTCTGCAGCCTGTGAGCAAGGAACGTTTGGAAAAAAGTGTAGAAGTCGCTGTAACTGTGACCCTGGCTCTCGTTGCCATCCGGTCAGCGGGAGGTGTATTTGTCCAAAAGGGAAGACTGGGAACAAATGTGACACAGGTACAAACTGATATTTCATATGATTCATATTGTTTCCATGTGAGGTCACGTCTGCCATTTTGGTTGCGCAAATCTTCTCGTTTGTTTTAATGAACGTCGTCAGTTATCATAAGTAGAAGCTGCAGGCTCAACTTTATTCCTTAACAAAAGTGCTTTGATTTTAGTTTGTCCAAAAGGTTCATATGGTAACAGGTGTGCTCAGCGGTGTCGCTGTCTTGAGGATGCACGATGTGATCCAGTGGAAGGGACCTGTAAATGTCCTGCGGGAAGGACTGGGAAATACTGCAAAGAGAGTACGTCTACTTGTTCAGTGCTGAGGCAAATCAAAAAATTGTCATTTACGCCATAATTAAAAGCAATCCAACAATCAAACCCAATTTTGGATTGCCACGTCCTGAGGAAAGTCATTATGTTGCGATTATCATTAAGTGTTGAAAGTGATCTAGGATCTTGCTGGTGTTTTTATTCACACGATCTGTAAGTAGTCGCGAAAACTTGCGCTACCTTAAAAATGAAGCAATTGCACCTTGTTCCCTCATGTTTGCCACCCAACTCCCCTCGAGGAGCTTGATTTTTTTCTTCTTTGAGTCATAATATTTCTCTGGCGACAGCTTCCTTTCTTCTGACAGCCGATGTAATTCTTTTGTTTTGGTTTTGTTTACATTCAGTTTTAATTCGTTTCGAGCATGCTTATAAACAAACAACCGCAACCAAAATTAACAGCCAGGATTCTCTTTATCTCTGTAGTGTGCCCTCAAGACACCTACGGAACCGATTGTAGTCAGCGGTGCGACTGCGTCAACAGCTCATGTGCTCCTGATACTGGAGAATGCCAGTGTCCGGCTGGAACAACGGGACCGAGATGTGATGAAGGTTAGCTCCATGATTTCATTATCATTGGAAAAGGATCTCATTAATGGTTGTCTATTCATTATTTTCGTAGCTTGCCCTCAAGGTTACTTTGGACAGAATTGCAGTCAGTCGTGTGGTTGTCATGGAAACTCGTCATGCGATCCTGTGACTGGCAGGTGTCATTGTAGATGCGAGCACAACGCAACCTGTGATAACGTAACGGGATCTTGTGTCTGCGCACCTGGTTGGATCGGCGAGACATGTGAGAAAAGTAAACACTTTATCCAGACTACCTCAATAATACCACTTACGGTGCCTCACTGAATTCAATCAAGAATGCTTTTGCGCTATGTTGGTTTACCTGAGCAAAATTTTAAGGCTTTCTCGCTATAAACACTCGTCGTTCGCAGCCCGTACATCTGAATGAAATAGTTTAAGCAAAAGTGAGGATTAAATTGTTTTCAGGGGGAACGGAGTGGGGATCAGTCGTCGCTAATAGAGTACAAAATGGGGAATAGAGAATATTGATTGCCAATAACCTGCCATTGACGAGAGATTATAAGAATATTGCAGAGACTTGTTGAGGGATAAGATAAATTTAATCGAGACTTAACCAAAACCTTCGACCCCACCCCACCCCTTAACCCTAACCCAAACCCAAGGGGACCCCCAGGCGATTATAAATAAAACAAATTAGAAGCAATGAGAAAACAAAACAAGCATTTTAATGTTTTTAAAATCAAATGGCTTGAAAATGAGTTTTTTCCCTTTTTTTTTCAATAAACAGGATGTCCTGAAGGATTTTATGGAGTGAACTGTAGCAATTCATGTTCTTGTCCTGTAAAAGCCTCATGTGATCATGTGACCGGAAGTTGTATTTGTCAGGCTGGCCGGTTTGGAAAGGAATGCGATAAAGGTAAGAATCAGAGCATATGGGGGAGTGGGTAAGGATACGTCTGAGCCCCACTCTTCCTCTCAGCTTTAGAAGGACAAAGTAGTAGATTATGACTACAAAGGAGCTTCGGTAAGACCCCCTTCCCACCATGGTGATTGAGCTGAAAAGCATCGACGCCCATCTGGAACATTCGTGACTCACGCCCAAAACCATAGCGCGAAACCATAGCAACACCAGACTGAATAAGCGGAATTTTTTAAAGTTTAAAGGCGGCGCGGTTCTTTTCCAAATTAGATGCAGGGGAAGAGGTTAAGTTTAAAACTTTTCTCACAGACTGCCGTTCAACAAAGGCACGAGATATCTTTGCACACCATTTTTTATTCTTGCACACTGACTGAACTTTTGCTGCAAACTGTTGTGTTTCGGTGGCGAAAATGCATTTTTTTTGTAGTAGAGATACAGTAGCATCGATATGTGCTGAGCGGTCCTCGGCGAAACTTTTTGAAGTCGATCCCGAACTAAATCAAAATTGAACGATAGGTCACATTATTAAAACCTTCGGTGTACATGTCCAGTCGTTCGTAAGAAAATTTCTCTCCTTACTTTTGGTTACCATTTCTTTCCTTTAAAGGTTGTCAGAAGGGTTTCTTCGGCGAAAATTGCAATAGAAAATGTAATTGCACCGGATATGAAAGGTGCGACGCTGTGACAGGCGAATGTAAACGAGGTGGGTATGAAATAAAAATACTTGAGCTCGGCTGACGTGATTATTGGTGCTCTCGACCTCAGATTAAAAGGGTCTGGGCTCGACCCCTGCTGGTCATCATGCTGTGTTCTTTGGCAAGACCCTTTCCTCTCACAGTGCATATCCCCACTACTCTAAATCAAGGGGGAAGAAAGCGGGCTGATCATAAATGGGTACAGGCAAATTGCTGGGGAACCCATATGAAACGCTGAGGCGATCTGCGGTGTGCTGGCATCACTTCCAGTGGGAGGGGGGGGGAGTTGCAATACTCCTTATCACTCTACACGACTGAAATTGAGTCAGGCTCCAGGTGGAGAAGCCACATACCACGCAGCCGACTTTACCTCAGCCCCCTGACCTGCCTTAAGCGTTAATGTACGAAGGATTTTTGAAACTCTTTAAAAGTACTCCTGAAGAATTTTCTCGGTAATTTTCCCAAACAGTTTGTCCTTCTGGTAGACACGGTGCTGACTGCTCGCTTAGATGCAGTTGCCCTCCTTCAGTGATGTGTGATCCATACACAGCAGAATGTTTATGTGAACCTGGAAGTCACGGAAAAACATGCCGAAAGTGTACGTATGGTGCATGATATTAATTAAGAGTGCAAAAAATTTGGTAACCAAGCGTAGAAACAGCACCGGTCTCCTGCATGTTGTTGTGGTTTACGTAAAAATTACCAGCACCATATAATGACCTATTCACAACATTTACACTACAAACGAACCGCACAGAACGACTGAAGGATCGACACTGATAGTCACGACCGACTTACATTACTTGAGTCTTACAACCAAAAACGTCATAACTAAACTGACCAATCAGTCTACAAGAGCCGGACTTCCGCTCAGGCTATCGAAACGTTAGTCACTGCTACCAACAATATTCCACCTCAGGACTACCCTCAGCCGGAAGATTAGACTTCACAGTCAAATGTGACCCCCGAGTTCATTTACTATATTACAGTATTACCTAAATGATGCCCTATTTTAGCTAACTCCTAACAATAACGCCAATAGCAACTGCTACATGGAGATAAGATTTTGTTATAATATTAGCCTGTCGAAGGGGTACATATGGCCGCAACTGCAAGTTTAACTGCACTTGCTCAGAGAATTCCGAGTGCGACCCTCAGACTGGGAAGTGCCGATGTGACGCAGGCTGGATAGGAAGTCAGTGTGAACACGGTAAAGTTTAAGCAAAATGTCTTAAAAATTCTCATTTGAGTTCCATTTCTAACGCTGAAGGACTATAGGAACGAGGACGAGAAGAGAGAATTGACCCTTCCCATTTTCCTTACGCGCACCTCTCGCGCGCTTCCCTCGTTGATTTTTGAAACAGTAGAGAGACGAGTGGGGATGAGTCAAGGTTCAAAGGTGAAAAGCAAGGTGTATATCTACAACAGCGTGTGATGCTTCACTGGCTACTTGTATAAGATTTAAGATCATTCCCTCTACAAGAACAATGAGAGCAAGATCAGAATATAAAAACAAATAGGACAAAGTACCAATGATGTTTCTGCAGTTTTCCGGAACTGAGTTGTTTTTCCACTCAACCTGATGCTTTCAGTAGCATTGTTTAGTCATACATTTAGTTGTCCTTAACGATAGGTGATCTTTGCATCCATGATAACTGTTTTTCTTTAATTTCTTTCATAAGTTTGTCCATCGGGAACGTTCGGCCCTGGTTGCCGGCAGAAATGTTCTTGCTACAACGGTGTCTGTGATCACGTGAACGGAAAATGCCATTGTCATCCGGGATACCAAGGAGCGAATTGTGAGAAAGGTATAAAAAATTATTTATTTGTCGAATATCGTCAATAAGACTATTGGACTTCACATTAGAAAATGGTAGCCTCTTGAAAAATGCTTTTTATTTGATTGGAAGTTGAAAGCAGTCTGGGATAGTGTCGCTTTTGCTTAGCTTCGCTCAACCATTCAAATGCAAAACCTAAATTAGTCGTCACATGGTCACTCGCGTTTTCTCGCCCTTCACGCTGATCACGTATTTCAATTATCATCGGCTACATCGGCAATTTATCTTCATTCTGATTGGCTGATGTTACGTGATGTGTTACGACATCCGATTAAAAAGCTCAGACTTAGGTATCTGTCATTTTATAGTGTGCCGCCGTGGTTTCTTTGGACAAGATTGTCAGTTTGAGTGTACGTGCCAGAATGATGCCATCTGTGACAACGTAAATGGTAAATGTCATTGTGGATTGGGATGGACTGGGACCAACTGCGAAAAAGGTTAGAAATGCTAGCATTTTTAAGTCATCTCTTCAGCGACTGGCTTGCTGAATTGAGCTTAAAACACATTTTGGAAAACTGGTCATTTTGTTGGTTCTTAATAAACCCGTAAATACTAATATGCAATATGTCGCTGGATCCCAACCTCCATCGCAGGGATTTTCTCTGTTCCTCTCGAGAGTGTTGGAAGCTGTACGATACGTTAATCATTCTTAATTTGATTGACATTGATAAGTGATTTCGTTTATATCTACATAACCGAACAAACATGTGTGCGGCACGTGTATTATCACCCCATATATGGCACTGTTCCACGTGTTTACAACGGGACGTTGAGAGTGTGTATCTTTGGAATAAACCGAGAGTTGTGAGTGGGAGTTAACTGAAGCGTTTTAGTAAAATCGTGAAAACAACTGAATAAATCGTGAGCTAATAAGGAAGCGTGGTTCACCTTTTTCACGTTTTCGACAAGAAAAAGAACCCTGGGAACGAAGATTAGCGTAATGTGCTAAAGAAGTATAATGTAACAAATTTACGATAAAACAGTGTGCAGTGACTGACAATTTGGAAAGAACGTTACCCTCTTTTCTTGGCACGGTGTTTGTTGTCTCAAACATCCGGCCAAGCTTTAGAATGGGCATTTTTTTTTATACCTTTCGTAAATGCAACGTTATTGAGCTTTCAACTTGTCGCCCAACACTGTTGCAAGACCCTTTAACTCAATTAATGGTATATCACCCTACGAGCCCTACTTCTTGATTGTGCCTTCACAGAATGCTCTTCTAGGAATTATGGTCTGAACTGTGAACAAAGATGTAAGTGTAGAAACAGAGGAGGATGTGATAAGATCACTGGCTGTTGTCTTTGCCCTCCAGGGTGGTATGGGGACAGATGTCAATATCGTGAGTGGAAACTTTTACGTTATTGAGCTTCAATTTTCCATTTATTGTTTGAGTAGTTTTAACTATCGTATTTCTTGTTGTCTTTGCGTTTTTTTTATTTTTTAATTCACATTAGGTTGCCCTCCTGACCGATATGGCGCATACTGTACTAAACACTGCACCTGTATGAATGGTGGGTCATGTGATCCAAGAACGGGACAGTGCTTCTGTGCTCCGGGGTGGTCTGGGAGAGACTGCACCAAACGTATGTATTTTCCCCACCCCCACCCCCACCCCCTTTGCAACTTGTCCTTAGTGGATCAAAAATTTGTTTCCTCAGTCTTAGGTGCGATTTTCATCGGAGTGACGATAGCGACCTGTGATGTCATCGGTTTTTTTCTACATCGCTGGTTGGTAAACTCGTGCCACCCTTTCGATCGATCAGATGTAAAATTAAAACCAACCGTTTGTTGGTCACTCACGTTTTCCCGCGCTCCAGATCTTTTGCTCGTTTTCGTTCTGATTTCTCATTGGCTCCTTAGGTATTTACATTTGTTCTTACTTGTCATTGCGAATGTATTTTGGCTGAGCTTTATCGACCAAAAATTGCAATCGAAACTCACAACGTATCGTGGATAATCTGATTTCAATCAGTTTACGATGTCCGTTTTGTTTATTTTTCTGACAGGATGTCCGGTGGGGCGATATGGCTTTGAATGTTTGCTCCTTTGCACATGCGCTAACTCATCTTTTTGTGATGCTGCTACTGGACAGTGCAAGTGTCCGAGCGGGCGGACTGGTAGCGATTGTGATCAGGGTAGGTTCTTTGTTATATCATAACTGAATTGCAATTCCTTCTACTGCTGCGCATTAACTATCATCATTATCTCCTCGCCATTTACACCCTGACATGAGTTTGTATATGGGGTGATATTTTAAGGAGAAATTAGATGGTAGGGGTCAAAGTGTTATTTGCTGTCAGCTCTATTTAAACATTTGGGAGTTTATTGTTGTTAGATTTTGTGTAGGGAAGTAACCTTTTTTTCCTTCTATGCTCAGATACGTATATAAATTGTTTCCACTGCTGAAGTTGTGCTGTGTGAAAACATTTTTCGCCTTTCCTAAGCTAATTTTGTTTGTTTTAGATGCTAAAATCACTCTAGTTTCAATGTAGTTATTCTGTAATTTATGTTTGTCTGTCAGTCTTCCAACCTGTCTATCTGGTAGTCTATCTGTCTATTAGCTTGTTCTACGACACTGTTTTTTTAAGAAGCACTTTTGTTGTATGATTCAAATAATTGAAAATGCCATACAAGTTCAGAAATTTTGTTTTTGATCGACTAATAATCCCCCAATTGACATTTTTCTTTATTCTTTTAACTTGTCTGTTTAATATCGTACTATATTGTGAGAGAAAGTCTGTCTTGGTCACTCGTGGGAGTTACAGGGTTTTAAGTTACACTCAACCGATCCGTTTGGGTCAAAACCAAATCGTAATCCAAGGTTAATAAAAAAAATTCTCATCGCTTTCATATTACGAGATTGTTACGTGGAGCCGTCATCGATAACTCAAATTGAATTCAGTTTGTAGAGGGAAGTATGGTCCCGGTTGTTTATTGGGCTGCTCCTGTGGCCAGGGAGGCCTGTGTGATCCGCTGACCGGAAAATGCAAGTGCCGTCCTGGATGGACTGGACCCGAGTGCAGACAAGGTATTTTCGACCAGTTCTCTCTGGCTCATGCAGTTTATTCAAAGACATAAAAATGATTTTAGTCACTGCATCATTGACGATAACCTGTGACTTCTCATAAATGGCTGATAGCTAACACTGCCTGCCTTCGCTGATTAAATTCAAGGCTTGTTAGTTAATTTCCCGAGATTCAGCAAACTAAAAGGAGGAGATTTTATCATTCCACGACATTTTGTCTCGCTCTTTCTGACAAAGTTTCCTCATTATTTTTTTTTCGCAGAAACTCCCATAGAAAAGGCACCTTTTAGCGACGATCACTTGTTTACAATCAACCTGCTTTGAGTCACAAGAACAATGTGTGAGAAAAACTAGGTACTTTCACACAAACAAGCGACTGAAGAGACCATTACATATGAGCGACGAATGCACTTAAACGCGACAACGCTTACGATATTTACAATCGTACTGTACTTTTTTGCTTGCTGACACACTGCTGTATAGTATCGAGAATATCCAGAGTGGCGAAACTAAGAAAGATGCTAAAATCACCATGGGTTTTTATTGGCCGCAGACCACTGGCAACTTTTCAGTACTTTGACAAATTGTTCTGGAGATGATGCCTGCTGACACACATACATCATTTATTTATTTTCCCTGTGGTTAGCGTTATAGTTGTCACCTTATCTTTTCGACAGAGGTTTGACGATCCTTGGTCTTCACTGTAGACTTCAAGTAGTCCCAGCTTACGCAGTCAAGCGGGGAAATGAGCCTGGCATGAAAAATCACGGGTATTATTTTCGCTCAGCGGTTATGCGCACTGTTGTCCTCTATCACTTACTGACCGAAGACAAAGCTTAGAATGAGGACGCCCTTGTAGATACTCGCTTCAGCATGTGCGTTTCTTTGCCTGCGGGAACTTATAAGGCCTTGGGCACGCGAGCTGGCAAGACGTCTGCGTGGGATCTAGCACTAGTGCCGGTAAACCTCTCCCAAACTCGTCTAAAATCTTCCAACGGGCGGAGAAATGTGCGTCACGCTGCGCTACTGATGAGGACCTACTCGCAAGCTATCAAGGAGGAACTTCTTGTAATCAAATTATTTTAGAACCTCTTTATTTCAATAATCTTCAAGTATGTTCATCTTATCATTTTACCAATAACCGGATATATATTAGATGTTTGTGAAGGTGTTTCTGAAGGTAATTTCCATTTACTCTTTTTACAATCAGCCTAGCATTTCACGCTTTCATGTGTAAGTAATATTTTTTAAGAAATGAATGAATGTTGCTTTTGAAAAATTAACGAGTGAATTTCTCACGATGCTTTCATGAAACGATCCTCCAGTAAAAATTAGCTCAATTTTCAATGAAGATCACATAGCATTTCCTGTTCTTAATTTGTACAATACAAGCGGTACGTCCTTTCGGCGAAGTCCGTCGTGCGAGTCGAAACAAAAAAAATCAGCGATTAAATAAATTGATGTTAGCGCGCCGCGCAGAACTCGGAGAGTGCTACTTTTAGTGCAGCTCACTCTCAAAGTTCCGCGCGGCGTACTAACATCATTTCTCTATCTGGGTTGATTATTTTTGACACGCGCGAAGGACTTTACCGAAAAGGAGACTGCTACTAATCTTCCTAATTTGTTACTAATCGTCCCATGTCAATCAAATGTAAGGATCCTGCAAGATCGAGATCAACATTTATGTCTCTGTTCAAAGCGCAAACAACCACATATCACCTTGTTCTTTCCGCTCGGATTTTATGACCCGCGTGTGACGTGGTCCGTAACTTAGAGTACAGACCTCGAACTCGGTTAGTAAGAGGTTTATAAATTTTGGCGTCAAAAGTCGATCATATGTCATTGCATCATAATCATGAAAAAAAGAACTTCCCAACAACCTCATCTTGCTATTGAACAAGGCAAAAACGACAAATCGTACTAATTTTGCGATCCCACCAGTATACAGCAGTACATCATATTTTGCCCAGTTTTTTCAACACGATGTCCAGAATATCAAATAAGATATTTCCAGCCACATAATCATTGTCAACCAGGTTAATAAGATAATAAGTATCATGAATGGTGTCGATTATCCCACGTGAACGAGATTTATCGGGATAAATATGTCCCCACTGATGCTTCCAGAGAGCAAACGCCTCGTCCTAAAAATGGTAAAAAAAAATAAAGCGATAAAGAACACTGACAGATCATGACAAAGAGAGGGAATCTTGTGAAAATATTCTCGCCCTATAGACGCATGTGCAAGAGCGGCCTTTACCTGCTCTGCGACAGGTCTGGAAAAACTTCAGCCAATCCTTTCGCTAATCACGCGATTTCCCGCCTTCAAGGTACTTTGCGCGTGTACACTTTGCTGAGATCTCATTGGTTCCTTGTGCCATTTTCCTTAATTCTGATTTGCCATCGCACCAACCTCGATTTTAGCTTTACGATAAAGCAATTTTCATTCGAATGTTGAGAGTTACGCGGGATTGCTTTGTGTTTGCTTATTTCTCTCTGTGATTGGTCCAGAAAACTCGCTCCACTCTCTCAACCAATCAGATGCAAAACTTAAACCAATCACGATTTGGTCGCCCGCGTTTTCCCGCGCTCAGGGTTCTCATTGGTTCTTCAGGGTCTTTTCCTTTCTGTTGATTGGCCGTTGTGAAGGCGTTCTACTCGATCTAGGTGCACTCTTATAAGCTAAAATGTATTCTCGTTTCGTCCAGGTTTCTAACACCTTAAGCGTCAAACCCCTACCTTCCAAAACTGGAAAGCAATAGGATCCACTACAGTCGGTTGAAGAATCTCTGATCCTGGAAACACGCCCCAAGTAACAGCATTGGAAGAGTACACATTCGCATTTGTCACGTCTTCCTTTCCCTGAGATTAAATTACGTGACAGTGACAGTTACTGGCGTTAAACGTGCGACAAAGTCGTTCTCTTTGAATCATAAAAATACGAAAAAAACATTTCTGGAAGGGTTTTGGGGAACTTGACTCTCTTTTTAACCGGTTCGTCTTCGATAGTATCTCCCATTTGCGTTAAAGCACCGAGCGCAGCTCGTCTGAACCTCTAAACTACTACGCAAAAAACCTTCATCGGAGATTGTAAAGGTTGACTAAAAAAGCAGTTTTTACTTAAGTATCGAAACTGACCCTGGATTTCTTTGGATTTGCTTTACTTCGCTCTGCGATTGGTCATGGAAACTCGCACCACCATCTCTACCAATCAAATGCAAAACTAAAACCAATCCTAATTTGGTCACCCAGGTTTTCCCGCGCTTTAAGCAGGTTGCCTGTTTTTACTCTGGGTTCTCATTGGTTAATGATGATGCGTGTGTTCTGACTGGTAGTTCTGATAACTTGGACTCTGGTTTAAAACTGCTCTACGACAAAACAAAGATTTAAAATTACTCACCGAGAAGTTCACAATGTGATAATTAACCGTAGGATAGTCTTGAAGGACTTCATGAAGGCACATTGCTATTTCTTCACTGGTAAAGAACTCCAAATAAGCCTGTAGGAACATGAATACATATACCATTTAGAAAACCTTCGCACGGGTTTCATTAAACCCTCCACGTCCTAACATCAGTATGCACATTCTCCATACTGTTCTCCATACAGTTCACACGGTGCTGACAAGGAGAATTTGTGTAACAATCAAGAGCTTCTTTAATTGGTGATCAGTTCCTTTATTCTCAAGACCTTTATGTTTGATTCTGGGGTGATATTGTAAGGAGAAATTAGAAGCTTGTTTAAAAGTAAAACAACAATCCATGTCAAAACTGTTGAACCATTTCTCCCCTTTCCCCCTCCCCCACATTAATGTTGGTCACAAAAAAATTGAGTTCGGTCGTGATAGACTTGATTCATTTAGCTAAAACAAATCAGCAAAGTTCACCTTTTGAAAAACGTATCCGCCCGGACGCCCCCATCCCGACACGGGGTCTGTGGAAGGTGCACCATTCACGTTTGGCTGGCTGTTGATCGTGAGTATTCCGTGTCTGTTGATATGGGCGAGTTTATCGACAAAAGGCAATGTTTCTGCTGCTAGTTCATCCTGATTCCATGGTAGTTCCTTTACCTAATAAGAAAGAAGAAGAAGAGCGAAATTCAGGATATAAGTGACGAGATGAAGGCAATACCCAATACTCACTAACGCCATATATATCATAGATCGTAAAGGGTATGTATGTCTCTCCAGTAAATTTCTTTCAGTATGTCTGTCATTTTGTGTCTCTATTTTTTTGTTCAACCATCAGCAAGTTTGTTAAATGGATATGAAGCTTACTTGATCTGCGTCTCTGCCAGAAAGGATAAGGAATGAGAGAAACATGCACGTCGAGGGAAAGTTTTCTACAGTTCTCAGATTCACAGTAAAAGAAGCACTTTAGTGTCTGTCACTCAAGACTGCCTCTGTCTGTCTGCCTAACTTCCTCCCTGTCAGTCTTTACGTCTATCTGTTGGTTTGTCTTTCTATCCGACTGTTTCTCAGTCTGTCAGTCTTTCTGCCTGTTTGCGAAAGACTAAGTCAGTACAAAGCGATAGATTATCTTTTGGCACCCCTCCCACCTTGTACCCATGTCTGTTTTCATTTCCATTCAAATAGCACACAAACACTTCAAACACGTCCTCAGGGCTGTTCAACTCGCGTCCCCACATGTTCAACAGTTCCTCTTTACTCTTGTTTGTACCCAGCAGCACCAAATGATAATCCTTCAATTCTCCAAATGACGCTGCGCTAGAATCTCCCCACCTCCCGTTCGGGAACTCGTCCCAGTTTGAAGTACGGATCATGTAACTTCGAGGTCTTGAGGTCCAAAAAATCGGACGCACTAGCTCCATTTGGCCCCTCCTTGCTTGGGCGGGGCTCGGCATCCAAGGCAGTCTCCGCATAGAAGCGGAATCCAGTTCGTCCTCCTTGTGCGACATTCCAATCTTTTCCAGAATTTCTGTGATAGAGGTCTCCCTGTTCAACGTATAGAAATGTACACCATGGACGTGGCCGCTTTCAAACAGCTGTTTACACATCTCTGTGGAGTATTTGATGCCGTAATTCATGACGGCAGTGGTGTCATCTTTCATTGGAGCCAGTTTGTCCAACAGCCACTGTGGTATCTCTACGCGGGATTGCCGTTTCAGTTGCCGCAATGAGTTAAAGTTCTGTCGAATACCAAAAAGATAACTTTAAAAGTTGTGTCATACCTAGGCCTCGTAACAAGTGCCGCCCCACAAGGGTTTCTACGCCCGCGAGGTCTGCACGGGGTCTAGCTCATTATTAGTGCCAGACCCTTCGCAAAGTTGGACCTCTCCAGCTCGCTCTGACCGAGGCCTCAAACGTTCTTGCGCGTGGAGCAACGCTGGTGCCTTAACACTACTCGTGCGGGCCTGCTCACAGGCCAACCATGCATTGATTTAACAATGTAGAAATCGGAACTTGACACTGGTTTATTAAAAACTAACTACTTATTACCTGAGTAGGAGGGCCAGAGGACAACAAATTTGGATCGAGGTCATAACGGACAGACCGAGCGTAGCTTAGTCATGACCGAGAGCCAAACATTTTCCCATCCGACCCGACCCAACTTAGTCAATAAGCATTTTATAATATAGCCTTCACTCTTTTTTTTTTTCATTTCGCATCTTGCGAGGCTGGACAGGTTTCTCGGGCCCTGCACGTGCCATTGCGTGCGGCTCTCGCACGGGGATTTTTCGTCTAAAGCTTTTCCATAAAAGCGCGCGCGGGGCCGTAAGGGTGATCTAACAATACAACTTATTACAAACCTGTATTGGAAAAAGGGCTGGTATAATGGGAACATTGATTCCATATCTCTGGCAATCGTCAACAAACTTAAGGAAAGTTTTAACTTCAAAGAACATTTGTGTAATGATAAGGTCTGCACCGGCATCAACCTCGGCTTTAAGATGTTTTAAGTCTTCTTCATAACTGTGAACGTCAGAGGAGGCCATCAAATAACCTAGAACATGAGAATATAGATCACATAATGTTTCCACTGTTTTTCAATTTTACCATATTAAGGCAACGGAAGGCGCAAAATATGCCACAGTATTACACTGTAAAACTGGGCAAAAATACGGGGGAGGAGTGGAGGACAAAATGGCCGCACTGAACGATCTAAACTTTGGTTTTATTCCATTTTTTTAAGCTTGACTTTTCAACCCTTTAAGCCCCAGTAGTGACCAGCATCTAATTTCTCTTAACAATATCACTGCCTGGTCAAATGTACGGATCATGAGAATGAATGAAATGATTACCAAAGATGAAATGTCTTGATGTTTGAACAAATTCTCTCGATCAGTAAAATAAGAAACATATGGGGAACAGTGACGAGAATATACACGTCAATATCGGGGCTTAAAGGGTTACGCAACAAAATTTTAAGCGCATCAGATTTTTTTTGGTTAGCCATAAAAACACTTCAATGGCTTCAGCTTTGTTTTCTACGCAGGCCATATTCGATGGCGTTAACGAGAGATGCGTTGGTCGTTATGTACAGTCACCCGGGTTTAACGCGGAAAATAACTAATTTTCTTCGAGGAACAGGAATGAAACCGAAAAAAAAAAAGACAAAAAAAGTCATTGACACGTGGTATGATGCGCGGTCACCCATCAGAGTTTAAACTCCAGCCAATAGGCCTCAACGTCAATGAGAGGCACATGCACGTGGCTAACAAGCAGGTGGCTAATTTCCAAATCTCACAACGCTGATACTCAATCCCATTTTTTAGCGTGGTCTGCGACAGGCATCCCACGTAAAACTAAATCCCTCATGCAATGATTTAACATAAGTTACGAGCAAATAGTTTGTTCTCATTGCTCATATTTTTCTTCTCCCCTTCAGAGCAAAGGAAAATACTGCACAGCTCGCAAAATACTTGCTAGTATTATAAGTAAAACTTTCGGATAAGGTGTGTATAATCCTGGCTAACGCCAAGAGTGCCAATTCTTAATCACTACTCAGGAGTCTCATACCTGCAGATTGAAGATACTAACTCATGTATAAACATAGCAATTTGAATACAATTGTCAAAGAAGAAGAGAAGAATACCCACTAAGGTTTTACATACCTACCACTCCTATTGTGAAGTGGTCTCCAAATTCACTTTTGATAAATTTAACCAGGTCCACAGTGTAGTCAAATCCATCTTCTTTTGGTGTCATGTCCTCACCATAGCTTTCATCTGCTACACAAAAGGTGAAAGTTTTCTCAAGTTTTAATCAGTAACTCAATAAATCTGCACTGTTACTGAATCTCCCTAGAGTAATCAATTAATGGTGGTTACTCAGCTGTTAACCCTTTTAACACAAAGATCTGATTGTTAATTCTCCCCTCCAGCTGCTAAACATTTCCTTGCAAATAAGTTATGAGAATTTGGTGTTAGATCAAGATTACAACTTCTACCTAATAAGTTTGAGTATTCTCATTACCTGTATGCTGGATCATGTATGGATGTTATCAGGAGAATTAACATGTTAATCACTTGTTCTAGCCTTTCCAGAGTTCTTATGTTGTGTTGGAAAGAAAAACAGTGGGAGACTTGCTAACCAAAAGTTAGCTCACAAGAGTTCAGGTTCTAGAGATCCAGGTCCAAGACCCAGCCTGGTCATTGTGTTGTATCAAAGACACTTCACTCTCACAGTGGCTATCACCATCCAGGAGTCAGGGAAGCCTGATGAAATTATAGGGGAGTGGGGTCTAGCCTCAGGAGGTAGTGGTATCTTATGCCAGTCTATTGTAATACTTATGGTAATACGTATGGTCACATCATGTTACAGATACCAGAGGAAGCCCTGGCCAACATAAAATGACTCACATAAAATTCAAGCAGTACCTCCTCTCACTGCAAGAACACTTTTAATACCAAGATTTTTAGCTCGATTAAGATGCTCCAACACCTGACTTCTTGTTGTGTTTCCTGATGGGATGTGAATCATAATATTTTGTCCATATACATCAATCATTGCTGCCGAAACTAACAGTGTGCTAGGCTCTGACTGACACTTGTCTGACATAGGGTCTTGAGATGGTTTCCAAGTGATGTCACAAAAGAGAGGAGTACACTGTTCATGTAATCTTCCAAGTATTGCCATGAGGTTGGTTGCTCCATTGAAGGTCTTTGGTGGATAAAACTCCAAGGAAAAGAACTGTTCATTCTTCTCTATTTTATGCCTGATAGTATCAATAAGTTTTTCAGGCTTTGATTCCCTTTCACTTGCCTGTTGTGACATGATTTTCTCACTCTTAGGCTAATAGTGGCTCATAACATATTCACACAGCCCTGGAAAGATTTAATGAGGACAAACACCAATGAATTAATTGATTTATTAAATAAAAATCATCTTACTATCTATCTACAGTTCTATTTTACCAAAGGGACTTAGATTCGCTTTATCATCAGATACATAGATCGTCACAAAAATCGTTGCTGTGCCTCATGTTAGTTTTTCTTGTTCTTGCCACCTTTTAACATGTTTAATCATTTTGTGATCTAATACTGAACAGACCCACAACAACATGGAATCTATTTGCTAATAGATTTATGTACAATATACAGGTTAAAACCCCCTAAATGTAAAGAAGACAATGCATTTTGGAATTACCTATAAGTAATTTATTATATCCATTTTGAAAGCACTGTTGATCCTGCAATCTGATTTGGCTCTCATTTGTGCAATTTGATCACAAATCAAAACATTTCATACTCTCCATCGCATATTTTTCCCAGCCAATGAGAGAGCTTTACTAAAAAAAACAACAACCAATCAGATTTCAAGGTTTGTTTTAAGTGACCAATCAAATTACACTTTTGCAACTTTTTACAAACCAGCTAAATACTTGATCATTTGAATATTTGTACAGATTAAAAAAACCTGTATTTGAAGGACTGAATTTTGCAATTTCAAAATAGATGTAATAAAGTGGTAATTAGACTTTGTGTTACACAAGTTTAGTCTGAACCATACTTGTGGTTTTAAATCAAACTTGCACTGAGCGCTTGTTTGACTTTGAAATCACACCTATGATTGCAGATCAAATTGAACTCTGCTCAGTTTAATTACCATAATATATCATTTCTTACAAACAAATGTGTTTTTCTGACAGGCAAACAACCTTTCATGTTCCCTTGGCTGGGTTTTCCCTATTACCTCTAGGACCATGATGTACCAGGATGTACTATTATTGCTGTTTGAATAACTTGAGGGTTTGTGCAAATTCTGCCCAACAGTTTGTGTTTCATTTATTCTTCCTTTCAGATCTCTTCACAGAATTCTCCATATTCTATCAAAGCGTTCATAGGGTCACACATTTGAAAAAGAATCTTGCGTAATAAAGCTGACCCATGAAGTTTGTGTTGAGTTATCGAATGATACTAGCAGCTTGAACAATTCGCACAGAAGTGTGATTGACTAGGAACAAAAACCGCTTTCAGACAGATTACTCCTTCCGAAATTGCCCTCTTACATGCTAAATTTACTTCCATTTCAATTGAAACCTCTGCTTATGACACGAATACAATTTCTTGAAATTTCAGCGGAGAATGAATGTGTGACATAACATGAGATGCCCCATATATGCTAATAACATTTCGGCTCTCAATGACACCATTAAGTATATGGCACGTACTGAATCATACCTTTTTTATGCAGTATTCGGATCAAGTTTGTTCTTGTCTAAATCCTTTTAGAATGTCTAGAGTTAACTTGCGCAGGAAAGTGTGTAGTTGCTCAATAACAAAATCTCAACTAATCGCTCCAGTCCCTCGCCATCGACTGAGGGACCAGGCCCCTCTCACGCCCCCAGTTGTAGATGACGTTCGCTCTCTCTAACGGACTTGAAAGGAACAGCAACTTAAACATCCATACCAGCCTCAATACCGCCGCCTCTTGGAGCTCCAAGGATGAAACTTAACGCTAAAAATTGCAAAGAAATGCGGCTTTGTTTCCTAAAGGAACCCATAGATCTCCCTCATTTGAAGATTGATGACCAACAATTGAGCTTGTAACCTCTCACAAAGTACTTGGTCTGGTGATCCAGAATAATTTAAAATGGAACAATCACATCGAATCTATTGTCACCTAGGCTTCTAAACGACTTCATATACTCCGAGTACTTCGTCGAGGGGCGTTAAGATTAATGATCTAATTACTATCTTTATCGCCCTGATACGATCCTTACTTGAATATGACTGTGTAGTATGGCATCACGTTCTAGCCTCCTACCTCTCACAAGAGTTATGGAGGAGGAGAATAATTAGAAATTTAACATCAGAAATAAATTTGAAGGAACAGTTACTAGACAAACGGAAGATAAATCTTATCCTTTCTGTTCTACATTGTATTTATCGCTTTGTTTTTTCACGAAGTCTTAGAGAGTAATTGATCGATTTCGAAGTTTGCTGGTATAAATGTAACATTGCATAATAAATTTACATGATAAAGCTTTATTTACAGCTAAAGTGGTAGTAAATAACCCAAATACGATTTCTTTAACTGACGGACGAAGATCTGAATAATTAACGTTATTAAACCATTGTGTAACCCTTGGCAAAAGGGCAATTGACAATCGATAACGGTATGCTCGATTAAGTCTTCATTTCCGCAATACAAACAATCCACTTTGGTGTAGGCGCGGGTCATTAACGAATCGTTTACGATCTGATGTGAAACACGAACCGTGGGGGCAGTCAAATGTCAACGTACATTGGAGAATTTGAGCAGTCAGGAAGGCAACGCTGTGGAAGACGTCGAGTAAAAAAATGAATTGAAAATTTCAACTAGAATCTCGAAAATGGCTAAATGTGTTTACCGTTACGGAGCTACACCTCAACTTCAGCAAAGTGTTTGTGAGAAACATCGGGGTTTCCGTTCTCAGACAACGCACATTTTGGTGATTTAACGTTGTTGTTTTGTAGAGGAAAGCTAAGAAATGTACAAAGATATGCACGCACATGCTGGGCTATCGTTCTGCCCATTGGATCTTTTGTTCTGCTAGGTTCGCCGTTTGCTCAAGGTCTTTATTAACAGATAGATACATCTATCGTGTGCTTTTCAAAATTCGTGGAATCGACTGCCCCCAGGCGATAAATATTGACACTACAGGAAAGGATCAGTGTTAATTCTCTAAGCACATGTAAAAGTGAGAAAATCTTCTAGTTCAGACTTGGTTTGATGCTACTCTGGTTTACAGATTTAATGAATGTAATCGAAGAGGTTAAAATTCATAGACCCAACGTTTCGACACTCCTGTCTAGTACCTTCATCAGGGGTGATCTAAACGCTGCAACAAGAGGTCCTTTTTATATGATCACTAAGTAGCTACCTTTTTTCTGACGAGATGTAAATAGGCGTCAGGAAGTAAGCCGCCATCGTCACGATTTAAAGGAGCGTGGGCGGAGTTAATATGCCAAGCCTCCAAACAAAGACGCTGGTAACGTCGATTAGGGGTGATAATTTTAAAATTATCCCACCCAATTCGCAGAAAAGTGTGTACTTGCACTTTGACTACCAACAAAGTCAGGTTTCAAGACGCGAACGCTTTAAAATTTATTTACATCACGGTTGATCATGGTTGGTTAGGCACGTGTGTTCTGACAAAGCTGAATTTTCTTTTTTGCCAAAGAAAACCGCTCTTTGATGCTCTTTCAAAACTGACGTTTGGTCTGTTCGATGTATTCGTTGTCACAGTCATCGCAAGGAATAGAATAAATGGCGTCGGTTCGTTGTTCTTTCGTGACAGGATCATTAGGTTTGGAGAAAATATGCCCCAAAGTCTGAAAAGGTTTTTGAGCAACTTTAGCGTTGTGGCTATTCAAAATTCTCTTGATGGGTTCTGTAACACCCTGAATGTAAGGAATAGCAGCAAAATCAGTCGCTGGTTCCCTTTCATCGAGAGAGTTACTAGTTGTAACTGGTTTTTGGCAGTTACGGAGAAAGGTTTTTGTATAGCCATTTGCCTTTAGGACATTAGAAACATATTTTCTCTCCTCAGCCTTTGAATCGAGTGAAGATGGTAGACAGTCAGCCCTCCTGAGTAAAGTTTTGGCTACAGGCTTTTTATGGCAAATAGGGTGGTGAGAATCGAAGGCGAGGTATTTGTCGGTGTGGGCAGGTTTACGGTAGACACTTGTCTCTAAATTACCCTGAACCCCTCTGGACACATTTAAATCAAGAAAGGGCAAATGTCTATCCTTTTCACGCTCAAGGGTGAACTGGATCAACGGCTCTACTGAATTCAAATTTTCTTTCTTTCTTTTTTGCAGGAATGGTTTAAAGTAATATGATATTTCCATTCCTTTCCCCGACACTAATATAAGGAAACCCTTACGATATTTCAGATTAAATATAGTTGTATTTTTATCGTTTAACAAAATGAACTAAGGGTGGCAATGGCCTTCATTTGGGCTTCCCCCTGTGATGGGGATGTTTCTAAACGGAGTAACGCAATCGATCTTCACCTTTAACACGCGAATTTTGATTTCAAAACTCGTTTTTGGAGTTTATTATTATTATTATTATTTTACTGTTATTTTTTAGTTATATTTTGCTGGTATAGATGTAACATTGCATGATTAATTTATATGATAAAACTTTATTTACAACTGAAAAGGAAGCAAACAACCCAAATAAGATTTCTTTCACCGACGGATGAAGATCCGAATAATTAACGCTATTAAACCATTGTGTGACCCTTCGCCAAGGGCAATTGATAATTGATAACGGTATGTTCGATTAAGTCGTCATTTCTGTAATATAAACAATCAACTTCCATGTAGGCGCGAGTTACTAATAAATCGTTTACGCTTACGATCTGATGTGAAACACAAGCCGTGGGGGCAGTCAAATGTCAACGTACACTAGGGAACTTGAGCAGTCAGGAAGACAACACTGTGGAAGACGTCGATCAAAAAATGAATTGAAAATTTCAACTAGAATCTCGCGAATGGCTAGATGTGTTTACCGTTACGGTGCTACACCTCAACTTCGGCAAAATGTTAGTGAGAAGCGTTGAGTTCCAGATGGAAACTTAAATAATTTGCGTCGTGGTTTCAGTTCTCATCACATGACGCAAATTTTGGTGATTTAACGTTGTTGTTTCGTAGAGGAAAACCAAGAAATGTACAAAAAAATTAAAAAGCACGTGCTGAGCTATTTTTCTGCCCATGAGATCTTTTGTTTTGTTAGGTTCGCCGTTTGCTCAAGGTCCTTATTAGCGGATAGATATATCTGTCGTGTGCTTTTCAAAATTCGTGGAATTGACTACCCCTAGGCCATAAATATTAACGCTACAGGAAAGGATTAGTTTTAATTCTCTAAGAACATGTAAAAGTGAGAAAAACTTCAAGTTCTCTGAGCAAAACATATTGGTTTTCGTGTGAAAACTCGTTCATAATCGTTTGCTAGTTTACATTTGAATTACCTCGTCTGGCAAAAAAAAAAAAATTGTATTATGCGATGACCAAAGTTTTTAGCTGCTTCATAGACGTCCAAGAAAGTCTTCCATAGCCTCTTTAAGAGCCCATCTTCTTGCTCTTGATTATGAGGAATCTCTGTTGGGATATCCTCATGAGCATCAGGATTATAAGTGGAACAGGCAGCGGCGGCCGTGCTTGCGGTGACTGGAGAACTGTCTAGATATTTCAAACGGCTCTCGTTAATTTTGAAGAATGCTAACCCTGACGAAATGCTCATGACATTGAAGCATTTTATCCACAGCTCCAAGAGCCAGTTCTCACAACCGGGAAGGCAAAATTGTTTATAATTTCCCGTCGGAACAATTGGAATCTGTTGACGCACTTGTAAATCAACCTTAAGTTTGGCTAGGAATTCATCGATTTCTTTTTCCCAGAAGTACTTCTCACTCAAGAAGTAATCTAGGTCACTCTCTTCATCTGGATCTTTGGTCTTAAAGTTAGCAAAGGTTAAAGCCACCACACTATTCTTCCATAGTTTACTCCCAAAAACCTCTGTCAGGGTACGGATTGCATGTTTATCCGCGTCATAAAACCGCCTATCGGTCATACTGATGCAGTAAATCATAACATCGATACCCTGACTTAACTTGCTCTCCATTTCCTGAAGATACAGTCTTTCGTTGCACGTTACACCTTGTAGACCTGGCGAATCCCATACAACTACATCAACACCACTGATTTCAGTTTTGTACGAAGTGACGGTGTCGGTGCAAGCGCTTGTGGATCGACCTTCCTTCGCAACTCGCTCTCCAACAAGAGCGTTTACAAGACGAGATTTACCGACTCCGGTCTTGCCCGTGATTAGGATAGACAAGCGATTTTGGCGTTTTTCTGAAACCCATTTTAAAAAGGCAGAATTCGATAATTCTGGGGCACTGATGCACAATTTTTTGGCCATTCTTCGCAATTTACCCACTATCGAATCAGTCAGGCGAAATGAAAGCGGAAGAGGATAAAAACGGGAGGGAGACTGCTACTATGACGTCACGCAACATTTACTGATTTTCAATAGGCTGCTTGCAGAGTGACCTAGCTTACTTCTTGATCACGTGGTTGGTTACCGCATAGCAACGCCATGCTTGAGAGCCTATCGTTGAATTGAAGAAAGCTTTCGAGGAAGGTCCAGGGTGACTATTAAAGAGAAAACGAAGCGTATTTTGCCCTGATATTCCTTGTATTTTAGTATTTGAAGCTCATTCGTGGACAGATTTTAAGAATTTTTTCTTTTTAAACGAGTGTGGAGCGTTTTTGGGTGCAAAATTTCTTTCATCGTACAGGATCGTCCGAGCGGAAACTATTACTCTTTTGTAGTAACTTACCCTCTGGGATCCGCAACAGTTACCTGTAAATGCTTCAGGTCAATGAAGAAGAATGAGGTGCCCCATTCCTTGGAGGTTTCCATTGGCCTAGCGGACAAGACACTCTCTGGAAAGCGCTCATGTGTTGCGGGAATAAGTAGATATTGCCATCATGTGATTAGGTAAGGTACGTTTTTTTATTGAGGGGGGGGGGTGGGTCGGGGCCTCGGAGGGGAGGGTCATGAGTAAATTTTTTTTTTTTTACAAATCGGTCAAACCTGTTTTATTCGCAACCGGGGGAGGGTCACAGTTTTTTTTGGCAAGGAAAAAATTACTCCAAGTCGCTTAGTTGACTCTCATTTGTTAACAAACACGCGAAGTGTGTAGAAACCTAAAACTTGTATATATAAGCAAAGCTACCAGTCAAGATTAATCTAAATTATTTACAGGTGTCGAAATAAGTATGCAACAGCGTTGGAGCATCCCAAGGGGAAAAACTTTACAGTAGTAAGAGATCCAGGAGGTGTTGGTAAAGAAACTGCAAATGGGGGCAGATTACAACAAACACTTTTTGACACTTTTTTTTAACTATTTTTTGCACTGATTCTTAATCATTGGTAAGACTGTCAGTATAGTGTTTAAGGAATACAAGATTGCCATGGAATAGTCTTAATTACTTGCAAGATTAATTTCTCGCTGTATTATGTAAAATAAGAGGTCCTTGAAAATTGGTCAATAGACAGGTTACTATGTAGAGCTGATTGACAAAGCCAAGGGTGGATAGGGGGACATCAGAATTAAAAAAATGGAATTCCCTTATTCTTCGGATGGCTCTTCCGAAATGTACTCTGAGCTTTGCAATAGTTTTTTTTTCAAGTACATTGGCTGCAGAGAACTGTGCTTGATTCTGAAGAAAAGGGGGAAGATTTAGCCCCAACTCCTTTTCTCTTAGCAATTCATCAATATTGAAACCTTTGCCTGCCATTACCGAGTCACCAGGCTCCAGTAAATCTAAAATTCCACTGAATCTAGTTATTTTCTTTCTGTAATGGATCCTGTGTATAACTAGGAAATAAATGAAACTGCACCATGTGGAGTGATTCCAATTAACCCCTTCAATGTGTTGTTGCTCTTATAACTGGAATACAGCTGTGACTGGAGTAACAGTGATGTTGGAGTTTGCACAAAAATTCAGTACCATCTAGAACCACTCTTGTAGTTAGATAGAGAAGACAAAATCCCTATAACACATTATCCTGAACTTCATTCTTTGATGGCCAGATACACTGACTTCCTAAGATGAAGTATAGGGGATTTTCCCATGTTGTTACTTTCCTATTTACAGACAACATGTGAATCTGTCTATCCCCTGATGCATAGCTATAGACCAGTCTTTCAGCATTTGGCTTAACAAACTCTCAAAAAACTAGTAAGTGCTTATATGTTGGGAAACCAGTATAGAACTTAATGGGGCAACACCTGATGAAAATAGCTCTATTCCTAAGGCTAGCTGCTCTTGAGCAAGCTTTCTGCAATTATCAATGTCATTCTGTGCTTGAGCCTTCAGGTCATTGATTGTCTGAATGGTAGCACTCACCTCTTGTTTGGATATCTTTAATTCTTCATTTGCATTGTGTAGCTCAGCTGGAACAGCTGTGAGTTGCTTTTCCAATAATCGAATTTGGTTGGTAGCACTGGGGTGCCCGTCTGTGTGTTGTTGTGGATTGTTTCATATAATTATGTGGAAATTCAGTTTTATGACATCCATGGGCATGATTAACAAATTAAGGTCCTTATTTATAAGAGATTCTTTCATCAAGGTTATTATTTTCCCAATATTTGTAACATGAGGTGAAACATGACTACTGATCACTAATTCAAGTCAAGTATTCTAATAAGTTTTATGTCATGGTTCAGTTACAGGATGATTTGATTTTAGCAAGCTCAATTATATTTGTACTGCTTGTGGTAAAGACCTTGAAACCATTAATTTAGCTGTTGTTGTCAAAGCTGGTTATTGCCCTGGTAGTCCCAATGGTGTCAGCGATATCTCCCACCAAGACCTTTTTGTACTTTGGAATGCTTTACAAAAAGAGGATGCCTGGAACATCTGAAAATGCTTTTGTAGGAGATTTAGAAGATGTGTCATCATTGAAAGGTAAGGTAAGTTTGCTAAGTATTATTTGGAGGACTTAATAAATTTATTGTCAGTGGAATTGACCCACCCTCCCCTACTGTATTTAAGAGAAGCTGGTTTAAACCTGGTGGAATAGCATTCAATGTAGCTATTTTTATATAATTTACTACTCTATATAGCAATGTTTAGTAGCTGTATTATTTTGTATGAAATAATATGTGCATGCTTGATCATAACTGAAAATGGAAAATGCCACTTTGCCTCTGACATTTTTTTATTTCTATAAAGCCTTCAATATGCACGTTTAATTTGCTTCTGTGTTTAAACCAATCAATTAAAACACAAGTAGCAAATTAGCAAGTAATAATTATAAATTGTTGCTATTATATTGTTTTCAATATAAATATGTATAAATATTATATATATGTAAATATTACTCATTTTCCATTTATTGAATCCAAATCAATATGTTCCCGAACTCAACACAGTCACATTCAATAAGTCATTCCATGAGTAGACGTTTTGCCAGTATAATTTGGATAAACACCAAGAATTGGGCTAGATGAAATGTCCATCATTTTTGATTACCCAACATCCATGCCATGTTGATGGGAACATGAAATTATATTGATACAAAAAATCTGGAAAGTATGTATAGTGCATCCTCAAGCAATAGTTTAGTTACACCTAATTGCAAGTCCCCTTTCATATAAAAGTAAAAGAAATGTGCATTACTCAATTAGTATTTACAAAACAAAAGAAAAAGATGAGAGCTCTACATTGTGTGATGTTCTTCTGTCTTGTTATTTTTTTTTTGGATAACACAACATTGTTTTACAATTAGGATCTCACATGGTAAAGTAAGAATTATTACTGACAGTATAAAACAGTGGGGAACAGTTACCCTAAAATTAAAACCATGTAACAGTAACAAAATTATTGTGATGTTCTTTTTTATTTAGTATTTATTGAGTTGATGCTCCATTCATAAAGTATTGTAACACTTTCATATGTATTGTGACAAAATTTGTTTGATGTTTACTATCATCTATCTATATTATATGATATGTTTTTTTTTTATGTTTAAATATTGAACTTCTCACAGAAGAAGGAACCCATCTTATTATGGCAACTGTTTCATTTGCAAGAAGGAAGACCTAGACAACCACATAAAGGCTGATTATTCCAAACAAAAATTTACAAAGGTGATGTTTTACTCCAATTTATTTGAATGAAGAAATAAAAATTGGATAATTTGAATTGCAAATTAACGGCCAAACACTTTATTATTCAGCAAAGTGAAGATAACAACTCATGTGGAGAAATCCATTGGAAGGCAGCTGGCAATTAACTGAAGGAACGGGCAAACGCGGACGAGACAGGGCTGGAGATCGCTGGCTGTAGGCATGGACTTGCGCAATGGGCGGTCAATATGTACCAGGGAGAAATTTACGGATACCCCCATCACATCCAATGCAAAAAAATTTAACCTAACGATGTACGATTTTTTTAGAGGATGTTGTATGCAGATACTGGGGCTGTGCTGAAAGAACTGGTATGAGAATGGGGAATATGCAGCCAGCTTTGTTAGTGATGCTTGCAAAAGCTCACAGTTGGTCGTGTCAAGTACCTTATTTATGGTGCGTAGTTTTCAAATTTAAAACGTACAAAAAAACTCGTTGTATCACAACCAGTATTTTTCTTATAATTCAAATCAAGTTTGTAGTCATGAGAATAGGATTTTTGCAGTAAACAATCAGGCTAATTGGAATAACAGTAATTTTGAAGAGGAAAGTTTCAGTTATCTTCTAAATGTTGTTTTTTAATTTTGAATATGCATGTTTATATCAGGAGTTTTTGCAACTGCATGTAGTTTTTTGTACTTTTGCCCTATTATATTGAATATCATGAACGTTATCGTAGGTTTTTTGGGGTGGAAGATGGCAAACTGGAAGTGCATGCATGACTGGAGAAGAGGTCGAGCAGATAAATTCCTACTTCTCCAGATGTGGTAACACAACCAAATATATGCTTCCAAAGAGTAAGTTAATCTGTCATCAGCAAAGTATTCCTAATAAGTAATCCTGATTTACGAACACATTTTTACTATATCCAACACCTTCCACTTAAAATGTGTACTTTCCAGTTTGAGTCTGTACTTATGAAATTAGTGGTGAAATGATATAAGTATAATCCCACAGTTCAACCAATAAGGATAAACTAAATGATCTGCCCTTACTGGTTCAACTGTGGGATATCACACACCACACTACCACCAATTTTTAAAGTACAGTAGTTAAAAAAAGAAAGTGCAGATTTTAACTTTAAGAAATTAACCATAGCACATTGATGTGGTGTTGTACATTCAATTTTCCATAACCTGAATTGAAGTAAACTTAATAATAATAATAATAATAATAATGACAATCTTTAATGAGGAAACTTTTTCATTAAAAAGTGGTT